TCCCTTGCCCCTCCCTCCCGAGCTCACTGCATCGTCATCACGTCACATCCATCGAGGCAAGACCAGTAGGTCAGTCAGTCAGTCAGAAATGCCACGGCCCACTCATTCGCTCACACGCCAGGCTGCTGCCCGGCTCCCTCTGCCGCCGTGATGGACGGTGCGGTGGACACCTGCCCTGGCGAGGAGAGGGCTGCAGGTGCGGCAGGGAACAATCCCATCCCAGGCAGTGGCGGCAGCGGGGGCATCTTGGCCCCGCCGGCAGCACCGACGACAGCAGCGGGCGGCAGGGGCGGCAAGCCAGCCATCCCCCCCAACCCGACGCCCCGCGTCATGTTGTGTAGGCTCATGAGGGGGGACGCCCCGGGCATCTGCATCAGCCGCAGCCGGTGCATCAGCGCCGCACGCTGCAACACCATGTCGAACGAGACGGGAGGCACACCTGCCACGCCGGGCACGCCCTTGCCGTGCGCCTGAGGCAGACCGCAAGGGCCGCCGACTGGTGGGGGAGGTGGGGGCGGGGGTGGTGGTGGGGGTGCCTTGATCGCCCCTGCATCTGGTGCTGCTGTCATGTTGGTCATGGTTGTGCACCCTGTGGAGGACCCCGAAGCCGCCGCGCGTAGCTTTGCGAGAGCCTGGCCAGCTTGTCCAGCGGCGGTGAGGCTCTGGACATAGATGGTGTATGCCTGCTGGTAGGCCAGCATGGCGCCGGGGTTGACCAGAGGGGAGGGAAGGGGAGGGCGGGCCAACCCGGCAGGTCCCGGGTGGACCTTGGCCCCACCACCAGGGGCCTTGGTTGTGATGTTGTTGAGGAGGCGGGCTTTCATGTCGTCCATGCCGGCCTTGCCGCCGAGGGCGCTGGGGAGTGTGTTGAAGGGGTTGAGGTGGTGGAACCACCGCTCGCGGCACTGGTGCTCTGCAGACAGACAGACACACAGACAGACAGAAGGAAAGAGACAGAGATTGGGTGCTTTTCGTGAGATGTGGTGTGGTGTGGTGTGGTGTGGGTGCAGTGGTTATGTATGTCGCTCACCGGTGCGCTCCTGTCGGCCTGCATGCACCTTTTGGTTGAGTCGGGATGCCACCAGTGACCACCTAGACACACGCCACACACGACACAGACAGACAGAGACGCCACGCCCAATGCATGGATTGGGTGCATCCCGTCCATCTCCGCCTTCCTCCTCTTGCCCTCCCTCCCACTTACTGGTTGTCGCCCAGCTCCAGCACCGTCCTAACGAGGCACCTGTCCTCATCCGTACTCCACCCCTCGCCCATGGTGCCACACGACCCTCCTGGCTGCTGCTGCTCGGCGTTGATGTCGTTCATCTTCTCAATCGTGGTCGCCAGCAGGTGCGACGACGACTGCTGCTTCTGCTTGCGGCTCTTGGCCGTCATGGCCATGTCGTGTGCGGCATGCTGGTCGCCAGATGTGGCCTGGCGGACCAGTGCGTCCACCAGGTCGTCCATGGTCATCTGACGGCCGCCATGGCCACTGCCGTTGCCATTGTTGGGCGTCGTATTGGCAGCTGCGGCCGCTTTCTTCTTGCTGCCGGCCCCCTTGCCACCTCCCTGCACCACCCCGAGAGCCTCACGCACATGCCGTCTGGTCTCCTGCTGCAGCATCGCGCCCTCCGTCTCGTCCCACGGGGCAGCCACCATCCCCTCGCCCACATTGCGAGCTGTGGTGCTGCCCTTCCGCCCCACAGACCGCTGGGGCGCATCTGTGCGGGTGGGGGGGTGCTTCTGCTTGCGCTTCTTGGATGAGGGGGGTGGCGGCTGTGTGTCGACTGCCATGTCGGTGCTGGGTCGCTTGGATGACGGCCGTCTGGACCGGCGACGCTTTGGCGGTGGGGACTTGGTGGGGGAGTTGCCTCCAGTGGGGGAGGATGAGGGGTCCCTGAGAAGAGAACAAGGGGACCAAAGGGGAGGGCAGTGATCCGTGGCGCAAAAATGGGTTGCTCGCTCACCATCCGTTGATGAGTTTGACTGGCAGGTCGTCGGTGTCAGCCCGCTCCTCCATGCTCCCTGCACACACCACATGAACACACCACACGGCCACTTAATCGTGAGGGCCCAAGCTCCTCTCTTCTCCCCTCGCGTCGCCTCACCTTTCCACTCAGTGTCGGGCTGCCCCTCCTCCCCGCCCTTGAGAGGCGACGAGAAGCTGTATGGCGACCCGGGGGGCATCCCCGGCGACCAGTTCTTCACACCACCAAACGATGACGACCCGTCGCGCTCACCCCACACACAGTGAGGGTGGGGCGCCTGCTGCTCAGACGCCGACACGTGCCGGTTCGGCGGCCGCGTGTCGCCGGCGTGGTACAGCGCGTCCGCCATCGCCATGGAATCGACGGGCAGCGACGTGTGCCGACGGACCTCGCATGACGAGAGGTCGTGCTGGTGGCCACCACAGCCACCGTCGTCCATCAAGTGGTAGTCGGACACGCCCCTGGGCGGCAGGTTGGTGAGCCGACTGGAGAAGGACGATGTGGCGGATGAGCTGGGGGAGCACTCGTCTCGGGGTGTGTGGTTGTGGTGGGGCGAGGGCGAGGGGGACCGTGAGCGGCTGTAGAATGGCGGGTCGTGCATGCTGTCACTCATGCTGCGGCCGCACTTGGCGTCCTTGTTGCAAGGATGGCAAGCGCCGCCGGGTGTGAAGGATGGCGAGAAGGGGTCGTGGTGATCCTGGTCAGGATGCAGACTGAAGTCCCACGGCCCCGGCTCCTGACTTGGGCCGGGCATCAGCGGACCCACACCGACACCAACACCCACGCCCACACCCAAGTGGTCATCGTCGAAGTGCCCCGGCAGCCAGCTGTCCTCTCCTGCTGATGGGTGGTGGGGAAAGGGGTTGGGTGGGTCGATGCCGACGAGAGGTGGTGGGTACTCGTCACTGTCGGCCCGGGGACGGCTCGGGAACCCCCCCGGGATGTCTCGGTCGGAGAAGGGGGCCCCTACAGGCACCACACACCAGCAGAGACAACACTTGCAACCTCGCCTGCCTCCCGCCGAACGCCGTCGCCCTCCCTGCTTGTCATGTGCGCTTACCGAATGCATCAGGCTGCAGGGATGTGTCTGCATCGCTCATCGCCATCTGCGCTGTACTGGGTGTGAGAGTCCAGTCCTCCCCTTGTCGCTCGTCGTGCCGAGCGTCGTGCCGTCGAGGCTCAGTGAGAATGCAGTGGAGATGGAGGCAGGGCTGTGAGAGACGAGGTCTGGCGGGGATGTTGAATGGTGCTGAGCATCTGAGCCAGATCTTTCTTCTCCTTCTCTTCCGCCTAGCTCGCGACTCTCTCTTCTCAAGCTCGCAGTTCCCGAGGCGAGTTCAAACTGGCCGCTGGCACCTCGACAGCATCAAAGTCATCCGGTTGAGTCCATTTGCAACACCCCCCTTACTGTGGGAATCATGGCCAGACCCCCGCCATCTCTGTCCGAGCTGTATGCCCAAGTGCAGGAGGCCAAGGAGGCATGGACTGACCCCCTACTCTTCCTGCCGAACGCAAAGGGCCGCGTGGCGAGAGAAGAGGAGAAGGAGGCCACCAAGCGAAGGGCCAAGGTCGCCAGGAGGGAGGCGGTCGAAGGCAGGCCCGTGGAGGAGCTCCAGGCAGTCATCTATGCACCCACCGGGAGCTTCCCCCGCGCGGCGAGGCGCATGAAAGACAATTGGGGCGTGTTCGCGTCGCTGCTTCTGCTGTCGGTGGAGGGCAAGAGGATACCTGACATGACGGTGTTCGGCCCGGGGCTCATGCGGCGGGAGCGACTCAAGTTCCTCGACATTGCTGGTAGGGATGGATGCACCCACATCCATCCATCCATCCATCCACACGCAAATGCCTCTCTCTGCCTCTGTGTGTGTGTGTGTGTGTGTGTGTGTAGATTGTCAGATGTCGGTGATACCTGGGCACGATGTGTGGGCGGCGCTGAGGAGCCTGGAGATCCTGTGGGCGCACAAGAACAATTTCCATGACTGGGATACCCTCGCCCGGCTGCTGGCCCCGCCCGCCCTCAAGTGGCTGACCGTCTACCACTCGCCCATATCGGCGCAGCCCGAGTACAGGTCCTTCTGCATCAAGACCAACCCGGGTCTGCTGGCGCTGGACGCTCACGTCATTGTCGACTCGGGTGAGCTGAGCAACCGACGCCTATTCGCTGCACTCACACACACACATATGTTTCCATGCGTTCTGTCGGCGCTCATCAGAGAGAGTTCCGTTCCTGAGCCCTGTGCCTGTGGCCGCCAAGCGTCGTGTGTCCATCTCCCCTTCCGCACGCGGCACCAAACGCCTCGCCACATCGCCCCCCTCCCACCTGGCTGTCGAGCCATTCCCCGCCCGACCAAGCAGGCCAAAGCGCCCCACAGCCCCGCCCGCCCCCTCGCACAGCAAGAGCAAGGCCTCCCTCGCGCGACACATCAAGTTCCGCATACGGTTCGAGGCCATGTCCGACGAGACACGCGTGGCCGTCAACCCGCCCCGAACCAGCCTGCTTGACCGGTCCGTGCGCACGGAGAGGTCTGGGGGGAGCCGCTCGCACTCGTCCAGCTCGCATGAGGGCGATGGCGGGAGCCACTCGAGCAATGAGTCGTCCAAGAGTGGCGGCAAGACGCCGCGGAGGGGTGGGGGTGGGGGTGGTGGTGGTCGGCGGGAGAGTCGGAGGGAGAGCAAGGAGAGGGAAAAGGAGAGGGGCAGTGAGGGCTGGATGGAGCCTGACATCGACGAGAGGGAGGAGCTGGAAGAGGAGCAAGCCATACTCGAGGTGAGCAAGGCAGCCAGCCAGCAACACATCCCCCTGTCCCCTCTCTCTACCATCGACAGTGAATGGTTGCACTTTTCTGTCTGTCTGTCTGTATGACCTGACTGACCATCATCTACTCTACAGGATTGTGAGTCCCAGCTGCGTGCCGTGCGTGTCCGCGCGTCCCAGTGCAGTGCAGTCAGTGTCATCCAGCGGTACCTCAAAGGCCTTGCCGTCCGCAAGAGGGCCATCGACTTCGGACGCGCCAAAAGACACGCCATCCTGCTCATACAAAAGGCCTACCGCACCTTCCTCTGGAAGAAACAACTCATGGAACGGGTAAAGGGCACAGAGAGACAGGGGGGAGGTTCACAACACGCGCGTGTGTGTGTGGTCCATCAGTTGCGTGATTCGCTGCCTGAGGAAGACCTGGGTTTGCTGCTTTCGGCTCACGAGTTGCGAAGAGTACGTGAGCACACGTGTCATAATTCTGAGAGAGAGAGGCGCTTGGTGCATTTGTTTGTGTATCCTGGTATGGGATATGTCTGCAGGCGAAAGCGCTGCGAACAATCGCGCGGTATGTGAGATCCTGGGTGCGGAAGCGGCGCGAGGAGTGGCGTCACAGGAAGGCGGCTCGGCTGTTCAGTAGGGCGTACAGGGGCGTCTACACGCGCAGCAAGATCATCGCCGACATGCTGCGGCTGAGGCAGGGTCGGGACCACTGGGAGGTGCACTTCCCCAGCAGCTATGACGACCAGATGAGGGACATCATCGCACATGTCGCCAGATACCACAGGCAGGCAGGCAGGCAGGCAGGCACAGACACGTGGGGAAATGTTGGAGACAAAGACGAGAGAGAGGCGAATTTGGACTGGTGTGTGCAGGTCTGCGTGTCCCGATTTGGGAGACCAGCCTATCACCTTCGAAGAGGGCCACCTGCGCGCCATCCGGTGCGGCCCTGCCGCATCATGCATGATAAGACCACACACGCCACACACATCCATCGTCCCTCTTCTTTTCTGTGGTGCGTCAGGCTCCCCGACGCGGATGACCTCCCATCTCGGTCAAGCTCCATCACCCTCCTGCTGCACCTTGAGGCGTCCGCCCTCCTCCGCCCCGCCAGGCAGCTCACCTCAACCCACACCGCCACGCGCTTCCCGATGCACCCATGGGGCGGCCCCTTCCACCGCGTTGTCGACACACCCTCACCGGAGGTCGCCAGAAGACTCGCCAAAATCAAACGGTAGGTGAGGTGCTCACACACATGCCTTCGTCCACCGATCTATCGAGGGGTCTCTCACTCTTTCTTCCTCGCCCTCTCTGTCTGGTATGTATGTGTGCTGAGAGAACAGGCGTGGTACGGCGGTGCGTGGCCGGGACAGGACGATCTTCCTTGCGTCTTGTTCCCAGCCCCCCGCCCCATATGACAGCGCAGCGGCCTCCCCCCCGCCCTCGCCCCCTCCCCCATCCATGCAGCCACACTCAGCGCCAGACGGCATCGGCAAGAAGAAGAAACGAGGCAGCATGGACACAGACGACGGACACCAACCGACCTCTGAGCCGCTGTGGGCGGCTGATGAGGCCGAGAGGAAAAGGGCGAGAGGTGGTGATGGGGATGGTGATGTGAGGATGGATTTCGGGATTGGGGGGTCGAAGGTGCGGTGGGACCATGGGGGCCTCTATGACGACCTCCTGGGCGTGAAGCTCTATGGCGACTGCACGTGGCTGACCCAGCGGATGAGCAAGTGGCGCCCGCCAACCTTTTACTTCGCCGTGCACATGATCCGCCTGCTCAGCTCGGTGTGCATGCTCAGCAAAGAGGTCGGCGAGAGGGGGACCAGCGCCGAGCAACTGGCAGAGAGCAAGAAACGAATGCCCTTCTACGCCGTAAGAGGGCAAGCCACAAACAGAACCCATGTGTTGCGTGCACCCTTTGCTTCACATCAGTGGGATCTCTTGCGGCTGCCTGCGGTGCCATTCGTTATGGAGCGGTCGGCCGAGAGGGCGTGTGCGGCCACGATGGTGCAGGCGGCGTGGCGGGCCCACCGGTCCCGCCTGGAGCTGCGGCTGCCGCTCATGACGGCGGTGCTGGTGCGGCGGGCAGCGCTCTGCATACAGAGATACTGGCGGTGGAACAACCTCAAGTGAGCGACCTCGCCATGGGTGGGGGGGATGCATTGCGGTCCGGTCGGTGTGATGTGTAAATGTGTTTTGTTGTTGTGGTTATTGCGTATGTATGTCATGGTTGTGCAGGCGTCGGCTCCGTTTCCTGGCGTCTTTGAAGGCGTTTCTGCTGAAGACGGCTCGCAAGAAGTACCTCTTCATAGAGGACAACCTCTTCAAACAGATCGACGATATCGCCAAGAGAAGACGGTAGGGACCCTCGCCTCACCTCCCCCAGACACCAGCACACCACTCTCTTCTCTCTCCATGCCTTGGTGCGTGTGTGCGTGCAGGTTCATGCCCAACATCCCCGAAGCCAATCTCTGGCTGGGCCTCTCGTCCGCCGGACTGCCCTCGTTCGTCACTCCTCCATCCATCAGCGGCCCCGCTACTCTGTCCAAGTCTGCGCCCGTTCTCGGACGGCTCACCGCCACACCGGCCGATTCGGACGCGCCGTCGTTTGATGGCTTTGCTGAGGACGAGACGGCCACGGGCAAGAGAGCATGTGAGCTGACTGACGACCCGCATACATGTATGCATTGGTGTGTGGGCGATGGGTGATGTGGGTGTGGTTCTTTGTCAGGTCCTCCCCGTTGGCTGGCGAAGTCGACTGGCGGTGCGTTCCCCTTCGTCAATCCGGAGGACACCAAAGCCACCACAGGCCTCAAGTTAGCGACAGACAATCCTCTCGGCGTGCCCCCTCACACCCCTGCTCTCTTCTGGTTTGCCAGGGACATCATCACGTCCAACGCACGAATGTCGTCTCTGTCCTTCTTCCTCCCCTCCCTCTGTCTGGACCTCATCCACGACTGCATGGAGAACCCGGAGGCCGTCCGCGAGCGGCTCTATGCCGACACGCCTCCTTCCCCCCAGAGGGCCGCCACCATGCAGCAGGCCCAGACGCTCCACGAGTTCCTCCTCAACAAGAAACTCACCACCAAGCAGCTCCCCGCTGCCATGCAGCAGCTGCAGCAGCAGCAAGAGAGCATGGTTCTCGATGAGGCCGCTCAGGCGAGACTGCTGCAGCAGGGCAACACCCTCACCCTCCTCTCTGGGCAGGTCGTCAACTTCAGCGAGACCGCACAGGAGGCTTTGCAGCGGCTCAAGGCGCAGCCGCAGCCGCCGGCGGACCTGTCGCCATCTCTGCGTAGAAGCGGCGGGGGCTTCTCGCCCCGAGCAACACGATCGCCACGGTCGGCCGCCGGTCTTGTCAGAAGGGAAGAGAAGCAAGCTGCTGCTGCTGCGGATGAGGGCGGTGAGGAGGGCCCGCAGAGCCAGCTCATGAGAGGGGGGATGCAGGCGTCCTTCAGGTGGGGTGCAGTGCATCAATACCATAGATACACGATGGATGTCCAGATGGATGCGTGGGAACGATGGATGCCTTGATGGATGGATGCAGAGCGCTTCGATTCTCGTCAGAGGAGGCGGTCCGCCAGGCGGCGCTGGCGATCTTCCTCGCCACATACGACGGCAGGGACCAGGCGTTCGTTCCCCTCTTCACGCAAGCCGACGTCGTCGCACCACACTTCGCCGAAAGGCAGGCACAGCCACCCACAGTGGTGTAGTGGCTGTCGATGGATGGATGCCTCTCTCTGGTCTGCAGGCTAATCGCCCTGTGGGACGTCTACAGCATCGGGCCCTTCGCACCCCCGCCGCAGGAGCCCATCACCGTCGCGCCTGTCAGGCGGATGACCACAATGCGGCGGCCGACGTCGATGGCGCCGCCGTCATCTTCATCCTCTTCTCGGTCGAGAGGCAGCGGTGTGCCGGGGATTGGCGTGAGGAGAGGGCGGACAGCCGCACTCACAGCTGACGACTTCAGCCCCAGATTTGTGCGGGTGAGGTGGGAGAGGGAGTAGAGGAGAGATGGGGGAGAAGAGCCATACGTGCAGTGTGGTGTGGTGCATCGTTCTAGCTATGTGTGTCTGTAGGTGGGAGGGCTGGATGAGCCACGCCGTCGGTCCCGTCGGCTGAAGGACATCATCAGCAGCTTCTTCCCAAAGGAGGCGGAGACCCCGCCAGAAGAGGAGGAGCAGCAGCCCCAGCCCCCTCTCCCCCCATCCCTCGCGCCCTCCTCTCTCTCCCACATCACACCTTCATCAGTGGAGGGGCCCGCTGCGGCCGCCCGGCGGTCTCAAGCGGCCGGCCAGCCACTCAGGACGTCTCCATCTAGCGCTGAAGAGGAAGAGTCCCTTCATTCGGTGCCACCCCCGCTGGCAGAGGAAGTGGCGGATGCAATGGTGCTCACGGCCGAGGGAATGGAGGCCAAGAAAGCTGAGCAAAGGGCGAGGGAGAAGCGGGCAGTGGAGGGGGCCGCTGGTGCTGGTGTGCCAGCCCGGTTTCTGACGATTGGGACGATTGACGGCGCCGCGATTGAGCGCCGGCGCACCCTCTCACAGCGAGGCTCGGTGACGATTCTCGAGCCAGGTGTCGAAGCAGGCTATGACGAGCTACCGGCCATAAGCGCCCTCCCCACCCCCCTTACCCAAAGCGCCCGAGGCAGCCGCGCACCGAGCCCCGCTGTGTGGATCCATCCACGGAGGCTCCGCGGCGATCAGGACGACAAGGAGAGCGAAGACCTGTCTGTGTCGACCATCGACATGTCGCGTGAAAGACAGAGGCAGCGGGCAGCGCACGTGGAGAGAGCCGCAGACGTCGGTGCAGCGGCATCTGCATCTGTTGCCGCTGCTGCCGGTGCGGCGGCCTTTGCGGCAGCTGCTGCAGCAGACCTGGACCGGCGTGCGCTGCCCGGTGGGTGGGAGAAGGGCCTCATGCGCGACAGGACGGGTGGCACTCGGCTGGTGGTGAGCTTCAAGCCTGGCGAGGACAGACTGACGGCAACCGGCCTCATCAAGAGAAGACGGAGGCTGCGGGTGAAAGGGGCTGATGACGGCAGGAGAGCGGCGGCTGGTGGTGCTGCGGGAGAGGAGGCACCCCTCTTCGACGAAGCAGCAGAGCGCCTCGCTCTACTCGAAGCGTACGCACACTCCCACCACACCGACCCATCTCATCTGATCTTCTCTCTGTCGCTTCCATCCATTCATTCAGCATCTCCGAGACGCCCATCCAGCTCACCCACCGTGAGCTATTGGGCCTCAAGCCCATCACCAAGGACCACCAGCGCGACGACGACGACCCGGAGGTGCTCGCGCAGCTTGGCCGCACCGAGAAGTACATCCTGGGCACTGAGAGGAGGCGCATGGTGGAGGAGGTCAGGCGGAGGGCCATCAGGCGGGGGAGGGGCATGACGGGGATGCTGGGGGATGTCGCTGAGCAGCGAGAGGCGGGGGTGGTGATGCCGCCTGCGGAGATGTGGTGGCACATGCTGAGAAGGAGCAGGGGGGACGCACTGCCCGCTGATGAAGCCATCAAGTCAGCGGATGTCGACGCACACACATGCAGTCTTCCCGCTCTCTCTGTATGTGTGTGTCTATGTGTGTGTCAGGGCGTTGATGGGCGGCACGACATCGTCATTCCCCGCCGTCGGCAGCCCCACCCCACCTCCAGCCGCCGGCGACATGTCTCCCGTCACGCCCGCATCCATCCGGCAGCAACACGTGCAGCAGGCCGACAGGCGTGGCCTCCCACTGGAACTCTCACCCTCACACCCACTCTGGCGAGAGGAGCTAGAGGCAGAGGGAGAGGGAGAGGGAGAGGCAGCAGAGCAGCCGGACAGATTCCATATGGAGGAGGAAATGGGCGTGAGCATCTCCCAGCAGATGAGCCTCACGGAATCTTCCCTTATGCAGTCGATCGAGAGGGCCCTGCCAGCGGGCGAGATACAGGAGGGTGACGGAGAGGGAGAGGAAGAGGAAGAGGAGGCACCTGTAGAGCCGCTGGAGGCACCCGTACCTATCACGAGGCCGCACGTGCCGCGGCTTGATCTGTCTGAGTTGGCGGAGCTGCCGAGTGGGAGCAGGATGGGTGTGGGGGTGCGGGTGAGGCCATCCCCCGCCCCTGATGTGCTGCTTGAGAGCGAGCGGCCCGTCAAGGTGCCTCCCTTCTACAAGAGCGAGTGGGAGAGAAGACTCATAGCCTTCATGGGCGCGGCGGCCGCATATGGCTCCTTCCAAGAGGTGCGCAGTGGGGCAATCTCCACACACACACACACACACACACACACGTCCTGTTTACTGCCCATTTGTTTGCTGCAGCGTTATACCATCCTTGAGCAGCACACGGCGCGTGACGCCGAGCGGCTTGCCAGTTGGGGCAACGTGCGAGCGGCCCGGCAGCACATCAAGGCCGAGCGCGCCTTCGCCGACTGGCTGACTAACAGAGAGCGGCGCATGACATTCAACCAGGAGAGGGACGCTCTACAGGGCATCGCCTTCCAGCACGAAGCTGAGGTACCTTACCTTGGTGGATGGACGGACAGACACCCATCTGCTTGACTGATTGATGTTGATGTTGATGTCTGTGTGCAGACGGAGACCGCCCGTCGGATGACCCGTCTGTTGTCTGAGCGTCGGCGGGAGGAGAGGGCTGCCGCGGCCGCCACGGCAGACTTCGTCAACAGATTCGCCAAACAAGTCAACGCACTCGAAAGAGGGTCCGTAAGAATCCCCCCCACCGCCTCTCTCTGGTTGTATGGATGGATGGATGGGCCTTCCACACACACACACAGGTTGCGGCTTCGTGAGATAGGTGACGAGCGCGAGTCGACACACCGGTCCAACTGCGACAAGGCGCGGACGGTGCGGCAGGTAGAGGCGTGTGCGAGGGACGCGCTGCAGAAGCGAGCCGCCGAGGAGGCCGACAGGAAACGCGCGATGCACAAGCTGACCCAGCGGCAGATTCAGGAGGGATACCTGGTGAGAGAGAGGGATGCTGGCACCAGAGACGTGTCTGGTGTTGTGTTGTGTGTGGGTTTCATGTGGCTGTCTTGTGGTGTGCAGTTGAATCGGGAGAGGGAGCAGGAGCGGCTGGCGGCCCTCTGCGCCAGAAGAAAGAGAGACAAGCTCATCTCTTCTTACCTCAAACAGGTCAGCCAGCCATTGATGGCGACAGACACACCCATCAGCAGGCACCCTTTGCCTCCATCCCATCTATCCACCCCTGTGTGTTGTCTGCAGGTGGCGCAGGGTATGGCCAAGGAGCAGCTGCCTTTGCACCGGCTGCTCGAGGACGGTGCGCGCCCGTCGGTGCCGATCTCCCCAACACAGGAGGGTGTGGGTGAGGGAGGGGGCCGGCAGCCCACCTACATCGACCTGATGGAGAGCCTCGACTACATCGCCACCACAGCCAAAGACGAAGTCGACCGAATCAAACAACGTACGAATCAAGTGCAGTGCATCCATAGAGAGATTGAGAGGGGCACATACACACACGCACCTGTGGGTCTGTGTCATCATGTGTGTGTATTGCAGGTGAGCATCTTGTCAAGCCCCATGCTCCTCGCTTTGCCAAGCGAGCGCCGCTGCCCCGGCGTCGCACGAGCAGCATCAGCGACGCCCCCACACACAGACCCACGCCCACACCCGACAGGCCTCTCAGCAGGGGCAGCCGAGCCACCACCCCAGCCACCCACCGCCCCACACCCATCCCCCCTCCCCTTTGCAGGCCAGCAGCTGCCGTCTTCCCACCCACACCCACACGCGACTTCCCCCTGCACCAGCTCGCCGCTGCGCTGCGACCGCTCCCCTCCCACTCGCCACCAAGACAGTCACCCCCCAGGGCGGCTGCTGCAGTGAGGCGGCCGTCGGTGCTGAGCATTTCCGTCTCTCCTTGGGAGGGCAGTTCTTCATCAAGCTCGATTGCTGGAAAGGAGCTGCCGTCGATATCAGGGCAGGCGCCTCCCAGAGGCACCAAGGGCAAGGGGGAGAGGGGAGGGAGGGGTGGGCGAGGTGGGAGGAGGGGCAGTGGTGGTGGTGATGAGAGTGACCCTTTCTGGTTGGTGAGTGGGTCGTGGGATAAGGGGGGTGGCCATGATGAGAAAGAGAGGAAGAAGCCGCCCATTTCTAAAGTGGTCTTCTCGATGGAGGATTATGTGCCCCCCGACGCGTACTAGACTGACAGATGGAGGGATGGAGGGAATGGTAGCCAGCCAGCTGTAGCCATGTGTAAAACACTGATTTGCTGCACTTTTCGTCCACCTTTCACGTAGCATCTCTCTCTCACTCTCATTCGCTTTCGCTGCACTTTGCTGCTCCTGGCACATGCAGCTTTGCTCACTCACTCATTCTGTCTGCTCTGGCTGATCGACAGCTAGTGTCATGTGTGTTGTCAGCCACTGGGCTTTCCTTGCTTATTGTCGATGCATCTATCAGCCAGGCGTTGGTTGGTCGTGAGATGGGAAGACCCATCAGGCAGGACAGGCACATTCATTATTCTCATGTCAGTCTGTTGTGTAAGTGTGTTTGTGCATCAAACCAAGGTCATTGTACGTCACAAAGCGACACTGTCAGCCAAACGATGTCATCTTGCCTTCACAGCAATGTCACGGCAAGCACTCACCTGTGTGTCAGACGGACGGTTTCTCAGCATTCAAGAGAAGTCCATCCACACACTCATCATGACACAGGGAAATACGCCACTGCAAAGCTCCAGCCGCTGCGTCGTGAGTCGCGCCTTGCGCGCTCTGCATTGACGGGTGAAGGCACTTCGCAAGGAAACGAAGCTCTTCACCCATCACTCAGAGACACATCAGGCACCACTCACTGGACAGCAGCCATACAACAGAACGAACCATCAAAGGCACCAAACCTCTCCCCCAATCATCACATGTGGATGGTCCCATCCTCCTCCCAGATCTGAATCTTGGGGTCCCTCTTGCAGAAGGCGTGCACCGCCATCGCCAGAGTGTCGTCGTCATCCATCATCCGCCCCCGGCACCCCGCACGCACATTCGATGGCACCTTCTTGTCCTCCCCATAGACGGCCTTGTACAGATCCTTGACCTTGGCGTTGTCGGGGAGGTAGTACTTGGTGCCCTGTCCCCAGGAGCCCCACAGCCAGCTGCTCGTGTCGGGCAGGATGTTGGCCGAGTCGATGAAGACGTAGTAGTGCAGCTGGTGCTCGGCGCGCCAGCGGGTCGTGCAGAACCAGCCAGGGATGATCAGGGCCATCCAGTACTTGTTGTTGTACCTGCACAGCTCACACACAGCAGATCAGCACAGGATGAGTGTCTGCCAGTCTGTCAGGCCTTACTGTGAGTAGTAGAGGGTTTCATAGAGGCGGCCCAGGCGGAACGCCAGGAACTCCCCGGCGGCCGTCCACGCCCACCGCTGAGCCACCATCACAGGGGAGTGAAGTGAGGCGGCCGCACCTCACAACAGCCAGCGCAGCTGAAAAGATCCCGCCGTCGGGCGCACAGGCAGCAACGAAGCGTGCACCTGCCCTGTTCTCGCCTTGGAGGGGGGTCCCTGTCGTGACCCGCGATCTCGGACGTGAGCTTGCAAGTGAGCCGATCCGCCTCCCCTTCTGAGTCTGGCGAAAAGACCATGGACAGCAGCTACGTGGCAGCGGTAGAGAGCTCGGATGTCCTGCCAAACTCATCGTCGCAAGAGGCGGCTGCCTCTGCGGCCGTCGAGCAGCCGCACGCCGAGATCGGCGAGAGCCTGAAGCGCCTCTGCTTCACCACACAGTGCCTCGTCTTCCAGATCTTCTTCAAGTGGCCACTCACACACATACACACAGACAGACAGACAGACAGACACACAGACATACAGAACATGCCTACTCATGACGCCGTGTTGGTTCTTTGTTTTCTCTGTGTGTGTGTGTGTGGTGTGTGTGAAGTGCGTTCATGAGTCTGATCAATGGTGTGATGATAGTGCTGGACGTTCTCGTGATGCGGCAGCAGCGGAGGGAGGGGGAGAATGGGCGGCAGCCTTTGTTGCCACCGCAGCAGCAGCAGGAGCAGAGGTCAACAGGGCATGAAGAGTACGAGGATGTCCTCTTCTTCGGCGATGTCTTCATCCTCGCAGTCAGCCACTCGCTCTCTGTCTGTCTGTCTGTCTGCCTGGATGTGTGTGTGTGTGTGTGTGTGTGTCCCTCCAGGTGTTGATTGTAGAGTTCGCCCTCCGCTTGCGGATGTCGCGGTACAATCTGCGGTCGTTCATCGGCTCGACCGAACACAAATTCGACTCGATAGTGCTGCTCATCTCCGTGGTCGCCGTCGTCACATACGCCTTCGAGACCAAAACGACTGTCGGTGCGTCAGTCGCTGTCTGCACACCAAGCTAGCCCCTTCACACTGATGGCAGTGAGTGTGTTTGATTGACCCCACCCTCCCTGTCTGACACAGGGAGTGACGCTGAGACGGTGATGCTGGGGCTGCGTGTGGTGCGGGATCTGCTGCGGCTGCTGCGGGTGGTCTACTTCCTCAAAGAGCTCCGCAACACCGTCGTCGACTTCCAACGGCACCAGTCCATCAGAGCTGACGCAGACGTAAGTGCGGTACGCTGCCAGAAGCAAGAATGGATGGATGGATGGATGGATGGCTTGATGTGCAGGATGAGGCCTCTGCGTCGCCCTCTGCGCGTCGGTTTTCCCCCTCCCTCCCGCCGCATAGAATCTCCGACACAGACATCAACAAGCATTGGTCAGACACAGAACGAAGGCGCGGAATGTGTGTGTGTGCCTGCGCGTGGGGCGGGGTTCTCATGCGTGTGTGTGAGTGTGTGCGTGTGTGTGTGTGTGTGTGGCAGGGACCACTATAGCACGCGGAGGCCGCAATCGCTGAGCAGGGGCGTGTCGCCCACTGCTGCTGGAGTCGATGTGACTTATGTCAACAATGGCATCAGTCAGCCGTTTCTGGGCGGCGGCGGCAGCAGGGAGGAGAGCCCGTTTGTTGACAGATGGCCGCCACACATGTCGGGGGGCCGGGTGGTGGTGCGTGGGGGCGAGGGCGGTCGGACAAGTCAGCAGCATCAGCCGTATGGCTATGTGGTGGGCCACCAGGACATTGACACAGAGAGAGAGAGATAGCATTCATTGTGACAGATACGCTCAACGACACAGCGTGTCGGAGGGAGAGAGAGAGAGGCCCGTGTGTATGAGGAGAGAGTCGTGCCAGCTTCTTCGTGTTGACATCATGATGTCATTCATATTTGTGAGTGAGACAGACAGACAGACAGTCCTGACGGCCGCAGTCATGAGAATGAGTCAATGGACGGATAATTACAACAATCCCCACACACGCACACACGCACGAGCACGCCTTTACAAACGTCCACGCCACGCGCATACACATAGACAGGTATGCAGTCGTCCGTCCTACAGTCTTTCCCCTCCCGGGCCCGCACCCCCACTCCCACCGCCGCCGCCGCGCATAACAGAGGGCGACATGGGCGCTGGAACGGACCGATAACAGCTTGACCGCCATGGCGAGTGCACACGTCCGGCACCTGCACGCACACACAAGGAGAGGAGGGGACGGTCTCCTTGTTTTGTGTTGTGTTGTGTTGTGTTGTGTGACGCTCATTGGTGGGCTGACCTGATGTGGCAGTGTGGCGTCTTGGGGGCGATGTGCGCGTGATAGGGTTGAGCAAGTGGTGCTGCTGGCCCTTCTTGGCGTGGGACTCGAGCACCGACCGCCACATGGCGTTCAGACCCTGATTGAATGCAATGTGTGTGCATTAATTACAAAGATGATGTCTTCTCCAGCGCACCTGTACGGTCTGCACGAGATCCTCCTGCTCCCTCTCGTCATCGCTCACCACACCCACACCCACGCCCATCCCCCGCCTCTGCTGCTCACCTCCTCCCCCCCTTCTACTCGCCATGCCATAGTAGCTATGCTGCTGCTGCTGCGTGTGTGGGTGGTGCGGATGGCCGGGCACCCCCAGCCCCGCCCCCACTCCGACCCCATGTGTATGGGCCTGTCCCGCCCACCGCCTATGGCGCATCAGCTCCTGCGGCGACTTGGGCAGCTCCGCCACACCACCACCACCACGGCCCCTTCCGAACCTGCTGCTGCCGCCGTACGTGTGATGATACTGCGGAATCTTCTGGGGAATCACACCCCTGGCCGTCCTCGCCAGGCTGTCTGTGGGACTTGGACGGGGGGAGCCGAGGCCTGCCTCCGATGGGGGCGGGGGAGGGGGAGGGGGTGGGCTGCCCTCTCCCTCTCCCCCTCCCTCTCCATCCAACAGCCGCTTGTTGGCAGAGGGCATGGTGTTGGTGTGTCTCTTGAGGCCCGTGGGCATGACGAAGTTGTCATCGCCGAAGGGGTCGAGGGTGACGGCTGCCGTGACATGTGGCCGCTTCTCTGGGTGGTGGTGTGGGGGCTGGTGGGGAGCGGTGGGGTCCTTTGCGTAGCGGTCGATGTCGGCATCAGCTGTGAGGACCGACAGCTGGGAAGGGGAGGCCTCCTCGCCACCACGACTATGACCACAGGGACGGTCCTGCTCCACACGACACGAAGATAAGGAAGCGGCTGTTGTCCTTTCGCCCATGTTATGTTTCTCTCCTTACCTGACGTGGCATGACGCCATTGTTATTCAGAGGTGGGAGTAGAGCGATCAGCCCGCCAGCACCAGCAGGGCTCTCCTCGCCCCCTCCCTTGATGGGCGACGGCTGCCCGAACGTCGCCGTGTGTGTCGGCGAGCGACGTCGGTCTGGCGTGCGGAAATCCACCACCGCCCCCTCCACACCCACACCCACACCCACACCCTCCGGCTCTTCTGGCTTCTCATTCGCCCGCTGCTGCTCCAGTGCTGGCTGCGGCTGTCTCTGTGGCTCTTGCTGCGTCTTGGTGTTATCCGATTGCTGCTGTTGCTGTTGGTGCTGGTGTTGGTGTGAGGGTGGAGGCGTGAATGTGCCGGTGGAGGCGTCATTGTCATGCGGGCTGAGAGACATCTCCATCTCCTCACTCCCAGAGGGCACCTGCGTCAGCACGGTGGTCGATGGCGCCGCCCCAGCCACAACACCAGCCGCAACACCAGCAGCAGGAGGGCGACGATCAGGCTCCGGATTGACACTCCTGGGCACACACCTCTCCTTCTCTGCTGCGTCTTCCTTCTCCGTCTGTGTGCTGGTGCTGTTGGTTGTGGCGGTCACGGCGGTGGGGGGCATGGGCACCACGGGCACCATCAGCCGAGAAGATGGGAAGACGTGTATGTCGCTCTGGGTCTCGCCATCCGCGAACGAGGAGGGCGTCAGTGACTTGACCAAGCCACCCAAAGCACCACCCACGGCACAGGGGGCCCTAACCGGAGAGGCCACCCCGCTGAGCTCTTGATGGCCTTCAGGTGGTGCTTGTGGTGCTGGGGCGGTGACGGCGTGGCTCTCCTTCGATGGCGAGAGAGCGTCATATGGGGGCGGTGGGGGGCTGTGGCGGTCCGATGCACCGCGGCGGGCAGTGCGCATCTGCTCGGTCTCCTGTAGGGCGGCCTGCAGTGCCGCCAGCAGCCTGGCAGACAGAGAGAAAGTGCCCAGAGAACACACCACACACCCGATTCACGTCACGTATGTGTGCACACAGCTGTGTGTCGGTGTTGTGTGTGTTGGCTACGTCCGTTCGTGCAGGTCGATGAGCTGGTCTGTTATCGGCGGGGCGGATGGTTGCAGCTGCTGCGGGAGAGAGGGAGAGGGAGTCGGCCAGACCTGAGCCCCCAACAACCCTCCCCCACTCCCTAGCCCTCCACGCATCAATGCGCCCTGGCCACACACACGCACACACACGGATGCATCAACGAGCCACACATGCCACGCGAGCTGCTCGGCTCACCCCGGCAATGCGGTCCTGCATTTGATGTCTGAGAAGGGCCTCTGATAAGCAGACCCGTTCCTCCTGCATCTGCTGCATGGCCTGCTGCAGCTCATGCACCTCCAGGCCGCTCTGCTCCTCCCGCTCACGGGCCTCGCGCGCAAGCTCCTCGTAGCGCAGCTCGGCAGCCTCCCTCTGACAGATATGGTAGACAGACACAGACACATACAGACGGGGTGGGTGCGGTGTTGGGTGTGGTTGGCTGGCTGGCTTGCCTTTTCGTTGATGGCGTCCGCTTCTCTGTCGAGCTGCTGGCACCGCTCGCGCGCCTCCTGCAGCTCTTGCTCGAGCAATGTCTTCTCTTCACACAACTGCACACACACACACACACTCACACACCAACAGCATTCATCCATCCACACACCACACCACACCCCCAACACACACCATAGCGACCGACCGACTGGCCAACCACATGACATTTATACCTACCTGCTGTGTGAAGGGCTGCACGTCATCGAGTCTGAGCCTGTAGGCCTCGGCGCTCTCCTGCAGCTCATCGAGCTGCCCACGCAGCTCCTCGCACTCCCGCTCCCTCACGGCCGCCAGCTGCTTGGCCTCTTCCAAGGATGCGAGCATCGACGCGTGGGAGGCCCGCAGGGAGGACAGCTGAGAGGCCGACTGCATCGCACCATTGCACAGGCAGATGGGACACATGGCGCACACACAGAGAGGGGTGCGGGGGTACCTCTTGCTTGTCGTTGGCGAGTTGCTGGATCAGCTCGTGGCGTTCGGTTTCCAGAGCTGTGACGCGATCACGCTCCTGGACACAGACAGACAGACAGACAGACACACAGACTTCGGATACTACGGGCGGGTGTGGTGTGTGTACCTGTTGGAGCGATGCTTCCAGCTGCTCTATTTGTGCGTTGTGTTGCTCCTCCGCGGCCCTGGTGCGGCCAGACACCTCATGGCGGTAAGACGCCTCCAGCTCTGACAACAAACAAATGGATGGATGGATGGATAATCCAACACACCCAATCTCATCCCTCACCTCTAAGAGCACTCTCGACGTTTTCCTTCTCCTCGGTGACCCGCGCCAGCTCCCCCTGCAGAGCCGTGAGGGCCTCTTCACGCCGAACGCTCTCGCTACGCACGGCGTCAAGCTCGTCAACCGTCTGAAAGCAATGCCATAACCATGTCTGTGTGTGTGTGTGTGTGTGAGGGAGGGGTGGACAGGGCACCTTCTGCAGGAGATCCACTTGTTCGGCCAACACACGCATTTCGCCAGCCATGGTCTCTACGGTCCGTTCGTTGTGCAGGCGGGTCTCCTCTATCTCGGCCAGACGGCTCTCGGCCCTCTCGGCTCTCTCACGCTCCCTGCACACACTCACACATTAATGCCACATAGGAATGGGATGGACGCATCGCATGGGGGGCGCCCCCCCTGTGTATGCCCGTTGCTCACTAACCTGTCCGCCCGGTCTCTCTCCCTCTCGCCCCTCCTTTCGGCAGCCATGACGAGCGCCGAGTCGATCTCATGGTCGGCAACGTCGTTGAGCAACGAGTCCTCCGAATCGACCTCCTTCCCATCAACAAGCCCTCCCTCACGCACCCCCTCGCCACCATCCCCACCCTCTCCACCAGCTTCTTCATCGCCCGCCAGCCGCACTGCGAAGTGGGGCGTGTTATAGTTGTTTTTTTGGTGCAGGAGGTGCGGCTTCGGCGGCCTCTGCGGGCTTTCCGCGGGGGAGAATGAGTGAGGGTGAGGGTAAGGGTGGGGGCCCTCATGGCGCTGCGTGAAGGACATGCCGATGCCGATGCCGATGCCGATGCCGATGCCGGTGCCGGTGCGCGGGGAGAGGAGGGCGTCCATGTGCTGCTGATGCTGCTGGGGGTCGGCTGTGTCTTTGTGTGTGTGTCGTGCTGACGGGGGGCAGGTGAGCGACGGGGGATGAGGATGGCAACAGTGGTCGTGCTGATCGTGTTGGCCGTGTTGTGGTGGTGCGGGGGGCAGTGAGGTTGGGAGGTCCTCTGGTGCCTCTCCCTCTCCCTCTCCCTCTTCCTCTGCCCCCCCCTCCCCCTCCCCTCCCTCCTTGGCTGCCCCTGTCGGCGGCATATCCTCCATCCACTTCCTCCCAACTGACACGCAGCACACAGACAGACAACACACATTAGCATCAATCCATCCATGTGGATCATCGTGACGACTGACCGACCGGCGTTGCTAATGGCGATGGTCCAGTAGTCCCGTTCCTCCTCGTTCTCAGCCGCCAGGTGCAGACTGCGATCATCCGTCTGAACCACAAACTCGCAGCGAGGCAGCCCACCATCGCCTTCATCATCACCACCACCTCCTGCCGCCACATAGCTACCCAAAACCTCCGACGGCAGGAGCTGCTGATGGTGGTCCGACGATTCGATCGCTACCGTCTGTGTGGTGGGCTTGAGAGAGAGGGAGCGGGTCTGTGCTATCAGATTCTGTGCAACACAAAGCAAGCAAAGCCAGGGAGGGACGGAAGATACATACCAGCGACACAACATGCACACTCATGTGCGTGTGTTGGGTGGGAGTGTGGAGATGAGATGAGATGCCCGACCTACCTGGTCGGCGAAGGTCATGATGTCGGCAGCAGTGAGTATGACCCAACGCCGCTTCCACCGACCGCTCCGAACGTTCCTCTTCCATAGCCATCCCGTCTGTATCGGCTGCAATGCAGCCAATCCACACATCCAATGTGGCATGCATGATGCGTCCCAACTCCTCCTGCAGGCATCCTGTGGCTATGGCACATTCCTCCTCACCTCTGCGATCGGGATTTCCTCTTGTGGCGGCCTGGGGGTTGGGATGGAGCGCGCGGACGGCGGGTCGACGGCTTCACTGGTGTTGATGGCGCCAGGCAGCCTCCTCGCACCTGCATATACACCGCACACAACGCATTCGAATGCATCTTTATGTCAGCGTGGGTTGACCTGATGCATTCGTTACGATGCTGGGAGGCGTGCATGCCTCCATCGCCGCCTCCCTCGCCTCCCAGCTCGCCCAGAACCACGAAATTTACTACGCGAATCAGAGCTCGCCGATCCCTTTTCCCTCCCTTTTGTCTGGTGGTGTTGACGATGAATGCTCAGGACAATCAGTTCATGAAGGAGCGGCCCAGCACCAAGGTGCACGCGCCGCCAGGTATGCCGTCATCCCATCCATCCATCCATCCACATGGCCGTGTTGCCATGGCGTGGTGCCTGCAGGTGGCAACACGTCCATAGTTATTGGCGGGGATGGTATGCAGCTAGCTAGGCCAACAGACAGACAGGCAGCATGGCAGGCAGGCCAGATCTTTCACACAAACGCCCGCCCTGCAGGCCCATCCATCCATCCATTGTGTTTATCTGGCTTTGTGTGTGCAGACAAGAGTTCTGTGAAGCAGCCTGCCAAGAAGGTGGAGGACGCCCCGCCCGCGCCGCCACCGCCCGAGCAGCAGAACCCGCAGAACCAGCAGCAGCAGGCGCCCGACGACCAGCAGCAGCAGCAGCAGCAGGGGCAGGGGCAGAACAAGGACGGGGCACCCAAGACCAGCGTCAAGTATGGTGCACATACACAACGCATGGACAGACAAGGGCATTCCATCAACCAATTGTAAGTGGCTCTTGTATACTGCAGAGTGCACGCCCCACCTGGCGGCAAGAGCTCTAGTGAGTCAGAAAGAACGGCGCAACCATGATACTGTTTGCATCTCTTGGTCTGTGGCGTTTGGCGTGTGTGTGTTTCATTCAGTCACGTTTGGCTGAGCGGCGAGTTGTTTGAGTGTTGAGCAGAGGGAGGGAGGGAGGGAGAGAGGGCTGTAGCTAGCCACTTAGCCGAAGATGAATAGATGGATGGACACCTAAGCTTGCAAGAGAGGTCCGTGCTGCCTGTTCGCCTGCCTGCCTGCCTGCCTGTCTAAGTGCGTGTGCGGCGCGCGTGCGTGTGTGGGGGCGTTAATGGCGGGTAGGGACCTCTCCCATGTCATGTGTGCAGTGCACACAGAACTGTTGTTTCTCTCTCAAGAACCCATGTGTGGATTTACCTATAGCTACAGGTGCCATCCATCCATCCATCCATCCATTGTCAACCACCGTCACAGAATCCACAGAATCAATCAACGCACCCGAAACTTCGCTCCCTCATTCATTTCGCATCCCCAAAGTGCTCCTTGAGGAAGGCCAGAAGAGCCCTCATGCCCTGCGCCTCCCCCCCCTTGGGCCTCCCCGGCTTGCCGTTGTTGTTGTAGGCGTTGACGTCCATGTGTATCCAGGGGGTCTGCTCCCGCGGCGGGTGGCCGTCGACCAGCTCCTCTCCCTCTTCTCCATTCGCCTCATCGTCTTCGCCGGTATTGTCCACTTCTTCTGTCGGTTTGGTGGGCTTCCTGAGGTAGTTCTGGAGGTACAAAGCCGCTATGATGGCTCTGAAGACAGGCAGGCACGCAGGCAGGAAGGTTCGCACACACACACAAACAGAGAGAGAGAGAGAGAGAGAACCCGTTCACGCCTGAACTGCCTGCCCCCCACGGCCGCACCCGCCCATGGGTCCATCAGCAATGTTTTTCAGGTCGGCGATGTCGCTCTTGATCTGGGGCGCGTAGCCTTTCCACAATGGCAGCCACCACACCTGGTCACGCACGCGGCTGCTCACCTGCACATAACACCCTTCATGAGTACATGTGTGGATGGGGGGCGGGAATGGGGAGGTTGCCGACCTGCTGCAGCGTCCTGGCGATTTGTGGATCGTTGCAGAAGACGCAAGGCACCTCACCGCCCAGCGCCACTCGTGCTGCCCCGGTGAGGGTGGCACAGTCGATGATCAATGCTGGCGGGTCAGACTCGCTGTCTACATAAAAGCACAAAGACAGGCAGACAGACAGACACACAGACAGACAGAGGGTGATGTGTGGGCGATTGGGATTTGTGCGTGATGCCCGTCCCCTGTGTGCATGGATGGATGGTACCGTACCTGCGTCGACCAGTGCATCGGCAAGGATGAGGCGGCCTTCGGCGTCGGTGTTCAATACCTCCGTTGTAAGTCCGTTCCTGGCGGTGATGACATCGCCGGGACGGTAGCTGTTGCCGCTCACGCTGTTCTCCACAGCTACATGACATGACACACATGAAATCGCACCATCCTCAGCTGTGCCTGCCCGTCCGTTGGCTGGCTGTCTTACCTGCGATGAGGACCCGCAGGCGTATGGGCATTGGGTTTGGGTCGCTCATGATGGCCTTGGCCATCCCCAGCACTATCGCCGCACCCCCCATGTCTTTCTTCATTGTCAGCATACCTACAGATATCCACACACAAACACAGCCATCCGTCGTCCACACGTGTGTGTGCGCCACAGCACGCCGCACGCACAGGTGCCTGTGCCTACCTGCTGCAGGCTTCAGGTCGAGCCCGCCCGTGTCGAAGCACACCCCTTTGCCAACCAGAGCAACCAGTGGGCTGGACGAGTTGGCAGATGGGCTCGTCCAGCACAGCTCCAGTAGACGGGGAGACCTGACACACACATACTGATGAATGATGATCTGTGGACGCCCATTCCATGTGTGGTGCGTGTCTACCTTTCTGGGTCCGCTGCACGCCCCACAGCGTGTATCTGTGGGTAGTTTTCCTTAAGCAGGTCATCGCCCACGATCGCCCTGACCGACGAGGCACCGCACTCCCTCGCCAGGGCCTCCACACACTCCTGCACACACACACACACATAGACACATCCACCAACACACACGTCGATGCATCCATCAATCTGTTCGCATATCTGTTTACCTACCTGCAGCTGTGCGGGTCCCACGTCTTCGGCAGGCGTCGTGATCAGGTCCCGCACCATGTATATCGCCTCCACCAGCCCACCGACGCCCTCACCCTTGACCGAAAACCCCACAGGCAGCGACAAAACCGGCCGCTTGTCCACCCCCTGCTGCTGCTGCTGCTTTGTCTTCTTCTTCTTGTATCTCTCGTACTTGTAAGCCCCGAGCGACCACGAGAGCACCGCGGTCGACAGATCGTCCGGGCCCACCTCCTCACCATGGAAGCGGAGGGCGTAGGTGGCGGGCGGCAAGGAGCCCGGGAGCGACGAGTAGGCGTACGGACTCTTTCGATCAGCCACCGTGAAGACGTACATGAACGGCACGCCACCCTCCTCTCCCTCTCCCCTCTCGGCCGGCAGGGCCAGCAGCTTCCCAGCCTTGAATTTCTCCATGTCATAGCTTTTGAGCCAGCCACGCCGCTCTGCAGACTGCTCTTGCAGCCACTTTGGGAAGCTGCTCTTGGTCAAAACGAGCAAAGGGGTGGGCCGCGCACCGCCGAGGGCAGCCTCTTCGCAGAATGATGATTGGAAGCGGGCCGCCTGCTCGACCAATGCGCTCGGTGCCACCTGGTCCTGCTGCTGTGGCTGCTGCATAGATAAGTGCCTCCGTTGCCATCTTCGCGGCAGTAGGATGGTCGTGGGGCGGCGTGAGCGGCTGAGCAGCAGGGGAGCGTTGGCAGCAGCGAAGGCGCATTGATGCACATGAGTGCCGGCTGCAGAAAGGGCGGCGCTGCATGCCGTTCTTCGAAGCATTGTCGTTGAGGCAGATCTTTGCACGGATGAGAAGATGGTGAAGGAGAGCACCGATACGACGACAGAGAAATGGATAGGCATGCTCCCCTGCTTCTCCTGCAAGCTTAGCTCCCATTTGCGAGCTCATCTTTTGCAAGGGAGGAGTCAGGGAGTGCATTGGAGGCAATGGTAAGGGGAAAACAATTGCGAGAACAACTGAAACGGCTTTCCATCTGATCTTTTTTGTGTCATCACCTGCCTTTGCCCGTCAGTCGAAGCGGACAGCGGAGCACCAGCTGGTCAAAGACGACGTGGCACGCGGCGACGATGAGAGGGAGGAGGAGGAGCACGAGGACCCATACGCCAAGCGCGAAAAGGCCGCACCCGATGTGCTGGCGAGGCGAAAGTGAGCCGACCGGCACAGGCACCGCAAACAGAATCCAATCCATGTACTGCACGTGTGTGTGGGTGTGGGTGTGTATGCAGGATAGTCAAGGTGAGACGCAACGACAACCGCAATGTGCCGGTCAGTCAGTGGACGCCCAACACACCCCGCCCGCACACACGCATATTAATGTGTCATATGTGTCATTACCGGCCGTGCTGTTCTGTACCGCAGCAGTCGGCAGCCCCGGCGGCTCCTGAAGGCACTGGCGAGGGGGACAAAGAAGAGCCGCACCAAGGAGACAAGGACAGCACCGCGGATGGGGGAGCAGCAGCAGCTGCTGCCACCACTAGTGCCGTCAGGGAGCCAGGTCAGACAGAGAGAACACACACAACCGCACTACCTACCATGTGTGGTGTCGAGGGGTCCGTGCCGTGTGCGTGTGCGTGTGTGTGTGCGTGTGTGTGTGTGCGTGTGTGTGTGTGTGTGTGAAGGGGAGGACAAGGATACCACCGACAAGGAAGCCGACAAGGAGGAGGGCAGGGATAAGGGCGAGGAGGGCGACAAGCAGAACCCCTTCGCGGGAGTGTCCATCTTCGGCAACGCAGCGTCGGGCGGATTCGGAGCGGTACGTTAGTTAGTTATGTCGTGGCGCCGAACCAGCCAGCCGCTCGCTCATCTGCAGATATCGATTATTGTGTTGTGGTCTGTTGTCTTGTGGTGTGGTGTGGTGTGGTGTGTGCAGGTGGCCTCGAGTGGCGGGAGTTTTGGCCTCTTCGGAGGTGGCACGAACAAGCCATCCCTCTTCTCGGGAAGCGCGCCAGGTACCCACATGCCGCCACAGCTTCTCTGAATGCATATGTATGTGTGTGGCGTCAATCCACTCAGGTGGTTTGTTCGGCCCTCCGGCCACGGCCCCCGCCACAGGCGATCTCTTCTCGTCCGGCGGTCTCTTCGGCGCACAGCCAACGGGCACATCCCTGTTTGCACCCGTGATGCCGGTGAGCAGCAGATGACGCATCGTCTACCGATACGCAGAACTGAAACGCACACGCCGATATGTGCTATCTGTCTGTCTGTCTATCTGCCTGCCTGTCTGTCTGTCTGTCTGTCTGCCTGTGTCTGTCTGTGTGTGTGCAGGGTGGCGTAGGTCAGAGCGGTGGTGGCGGCGATGAGGAGGGGGCCGAGGAGCCGCAGGAGCCGGAGGAACCCATACCCGAGGGTGAGCGAGACAGACAGATGGATGCATGATGGACGGGGAGATGGATGCGATGCCTGTCTGCTGTCTGTCCTCCATCCCATCCCATGTCATCCCATACCATCGATGTGTGTCAGTGTTGAGTGGTGAGGAGAACGAAGTCACGCTGTTCAAGGTAAGCACGGTGGAGAACAACACAACACACACGCATATGCCTTCTTTGTCCATCCATCCATCCATATGCACGTCAGTCTGACTGCCGCCTCTACAAGCTGGTGCCCAAGACGGCCGCCAAGGACAAAGACAAGGACAAGGACAAGGGCAAGGAGGGCGGCGACACAAAGGCCAAGGAGCAGCAGCAGCAGCCAGAGGGGGAGAAAGAGGCCCCACCCGACAAGATAGACAAGGAGGACACCAACGGCGAGAAGGAGAAGGAGCCGTCGCTCAAGTGGGAGGAGCGGGGCATGGGATTCGTGCACCTCAACAAACACAAGGTAGGCAGGAACGAGAGACAGACCCACACCCCACACAGACACACACACACAAATGTGATATATGTCGTGCACATGATATGTTTCTCTCCATGCCATGTGTTGGTTGGTGTGGGGTCAGGAGACGGGCAAAGGTCGGCTGATTGTGCGCATGAAGGGCGTCTACCGCATCCTCCTCAACGCCCCCCTCCTCCCACACACACCCGCCATGCTCATGGGCCGCAACTCCGTCGCATTCACCTCCATCGACGACGAACAGACGCAGACACACACAGAGGAGGAGAAAGGCGAGGGCGGTGCCGGTGGCGGTGCGGCAGCTGGCGGGGCACCCAAGCTGGCACAATATCGTGTGAATGTGCACAGCACGGAGAACCAGAGCAAGCTCATCAAGCTGATCGCTGAGGTGGGTGGCGCGGCAGCCGCCGATGGGGAGGGAGCGGGGGCCGACGGGAAGGAGAAAGAGAAGGAGAAGCTTGAGAGGGGCGAGGGCGCCAAGGAATCTGCCTAGATAGAGAGGTAGTGTAGGCGGTCTTTGGGGAGAGAGTTGGTGTGTATGTTGTGTTAGCCATGCAGTCAAGTCAGTAGCCAGGCGGGGAGGGAGGCGTGTCGCTTCTCCCATGTGTTTCTGGTGCGTATTATATGGTATGATGCATGGATGGATGGCCCGGCCCCTTGGTCTCTCGTGTCGCTTCACGCAGCTGCCGATGTCAAATGAACGCACCGCAAAACCACACTCATGCTGTTTCGCGTTCGTATGGTATCGTCGGCAACGTCGTGTGGTCAGCATGACAGACAGACCAGGGGCACATTGCCATGCATCGACACGTACAGTCAGTCAGTTGGGACGGGTAGATGAGATGAATGCCTTCACCCATGCAATACAATACATGCCATGCGTGGCGGTGCATGTTGGTGGAGTGGTATCTTTTTTCCATCATCCACACACTGACTGACTGACATGGCAGGGAAGGCAAGGCAAGGTGACTGACTGCGGCTGACCGACTCACAGACCCCCTCACACACTCCCGTTTTGAATCAATCGTGTGCATGGCATGGCAGGTATGGTTGATGGGTGAGGGTGGGTGAAGTGCCAGTCGGGTCTGTGAAGGATGCATCCAAGCAGCCGATGAGTACGCTGGTGAGTCCAATCCGCCACAGCGCGAGCTTGTGAAATTCTCGGCGGCCCGGCGGCTGAGAATGAAGTGGCGCTTCCCTGCGTGGCTTGCTCTTCTCTCGGCACCCTCATCCGTCCTCTCTTCGTCCTCTCGGTCCGGCGCTCGGCCCTTGCTGTCGACGTGGTTGCATTCTTCAAGACGATCCCCGGCGGCAGCAGACAGCCACGCGCGTCCTCTCTCGCCTCTCTCGCCTCTCCGAGCCATGCAGCGACGCGGCCTCTTACCGGTATTCAATCAGCTGACCAAGACCATATCGGAAATCGCCACGGAGCGTTCTTCGATGACGCCTGGCTCCCTGGCGGCATCGCCCGGCATGGACGAGGGCGATATGGCCTCCATCCAGCTGCAGCGGTCATGCACCAAATCGAGTCCGTGTCTTGCTGCTGACCACCCTACCGACTGCGGCGAGACGGTGAAGGGTTATTTCGGGTGGTTTGACAACGTGCTGCGGTTCCCCGGCTCATCGGCAGCATCATCAGTCGAGGAGCCGCCGCCATCCTCAGCGTCAGCCCAGCAGGCGAGCGACCAGTCGTACCTGAAGATGTTCGAGTCGCTGTATTTCAACCCCTCCTTCCTCAAGTCCGTCGGCGTCTCTGAGCCCATCGCAGCAGCAGCACCGGCTCCCACACACGCACAGACGGACAAGGACCTAAAAGACGCGCCACCCATCGGCTTCTCATTTTCGCCAGCTGGCCTGCTCATCCCCTACCACCTGGGGGCGGCGTTCCATCTCAGGAAGATGGGCGTCATCACCAACGCGACGCCCATTTCTGGCGCGTCGGCCGGCTCGCTGACGGCGTGTGCAGTGGGCATGGGTCTTGCGGCTGACAACGCTGTCCGGGCGGTGCAACGGCTGGCTGCCGACTGCCGGGAGAAGGGTACACGGAGCCGACTGCATGACTGTCTGATGAAGGAGCTGGACGAGCTGCTGCCCCCCGATGCCCACGAGCAGCTCAACGGCCGTGCGGCGCCCGTCACTGTGGCCTACACAGAGGTGTTCCCGTACCCTGCCGGTCGCCTGGTGTCGCAATTCGACAGCCGCGATGACCTCATTGAGGTGCTGTGCGCCTCGTGCTGTGTCCCCTTCTACTTCTCGGCCTGGCCGTTGGTGCAGTGTCGGGGCAAAGTGGCCGCTGACGGCTTCTTCGCCTCCGAGCTGGGCGCCTTCGGCTGCCCGGTGGTGGCCGCACGACGCACCGTGCGCATCTCGCCCTTCCCGGCCTCTGTGGTTGGTCTCAAGGCGATGGGTCCCAACGACGTGATAACACCGGATCTGAACCCCCAGTTCCCCCTGTCGATGCCCAAGCTGATCCAGATGTCGCTGCTGCCGGCCGATGAGGACGAGTTCGAGCTGCTGTACCAGCTGGGCCAACAAGATGCCGCAGAGTGGATAAGGCAGGAGGAAAAGGTGGGGTGGGTGGAGGGGGTGAATAATGATGGTGAAGGACAGAGGGAGAGGGAGAGGGAGGGGGATGCGCCAAGTAGTCGTGTTGCGGCTGAGAAAGGAGCGTAGTCGGACGAGGTGGATGGATGGAAGGATGGATGGATGGATTGTCAGTCAGTGGGGTGGTCAGGTCAGCATTGCCGTTTGCCCAATGTGAGTGATCGATGGACATTCGCTGCTGTTCGTTTGGTGTTGCCTCCTGTCGCAGTGAGTCGGCCTTTTCTTGGCCGTTTTGTTTTCGTTACCGCTCGCGGGGGATGGGGTATCCATACGTGGGGCAGGGGGGATGGGATGGACACACGAGAGGGTGGGTGGGTGTGACGTGGTGTGAGTGGGGGGCGTGGTAGGCATGGGATTCATGAGAGAAATAACAAGGTAATAATAATAATGGCTGTAGGTCACCTTGTGCGCACACTCTCTCTCGCTCTACACGGTTCATATCTTAGCACACCTTATCTATCACTCAAGACACACACATGGATGAAATGAACGATCAACGAATGACAGCAGTGACAGCAAATAAATAAATAAGGCGCTTACAATACACCCACCATGTAGGTGCGTACCATGAACAACGCAACACACAATGTGACTGACATGACGTGGTGCGTAGCAGCCCGATGCGCATCGACGGATGAGCCCACCCACGCACCTTGAACACGTCATTTGAGCCATTTGGATCGGCTCAATTATCAAATGACTGCCTCCACCTACAATAAACATGCTTGTCAGGACAAGAATGGCACAGACAAGCATCACACACACACACACACACACGCGCGCGTGCACATCCACAGACACTTATGCACACATCCACCCATCCATCCGCACATAAATTAATTCTTGCTCCCCCCCGTCGTTCCGTCCTTTCCCTCCCCATTGGCTCGCTCTCTCTACACCCACCGTACCTAAATACATACACCCACATAACAATACGTACAGCCGCCAACTAGGCCGCACAGTTTGTCAAAACCACCGCGGGCGTATCGGAACAAGTCACTGGCTGAATCGCCGGCTTGTCCCGACCTCCGCCCGTCGTGATTGGCTGCATCTGCACGACATTCACCAATGTGGCGGGTGGCTTGGTCTTGGGGGCAAGGGAGGCCACAGCCTCGTGGAAGCGGATGGTGACAGAGTATCGGCCAGGAGCGCACTGCCAGCTGCCTTGCTGGAAAAAATCGAAGAGGCCGAAGAAATCGAAGAGGCCGCCGCCGCCTAATGTGATGCTCGTGACGCCCACACCGAGACCTTCGGTGTCCACCTCGCATGAGCAGCAGCAGCACGGGCAACACTGGGCCAACACGTCCCACACCCGACTGGCAGGAGTCGCTACACCGCTGATGGACTGCCACGTGGTTGCATCGAAGCCACCCGTCACGTCCACATAGCGTCTGTTGCTGTTGATGCCCTTCTCTCCCCACGACAGACGCCCGTTGGCCGCGTTGTAGAAGCCTTTCACCTTGAAAGCTCCGTCGGTGCCGCTTCCCTCGCCGCTCACGGTGCCGTCATGCTCGAATGTGAGCAGGTATTTGGTCGTCCCGCCCTCGTCGTTCTCCAAGCAGGCGCCCAGCCACACGCCAGAGGGAGGGGGCGTGGCTGTCGATGTGGGCTTGATGCGCCTGTGCCGCCTGCACTGGCGCATGAGGCGGACGGCCACGATGAGGCAATAGACCAGGCAGACGAAGCCGAGGCACCCCAAGACGATGCCAGCAACCATGGCGCCGGACGGTGTGCCGTCACCGCCCCCTCCCCCATCCCTGAGGTCTCCTTCGGCACCGACGAGAGCAGGCATGGCCGACACCAGAGGAAGAGTGCGGGCCAAGATCCCCATTCGGACAGGTCTCCTCAATATGGCGGACGCAGATGCTTCCTGGATGTGGGACGAGCACGGAGAGGGCACCGCAGAGTAGGAGGAAGTTTGTGGATGGATGAATAGTGCGATGCAGAGGCAGATCCAGGTCACTGGCGGTCTCTTTCCTCCAAATGCGCTCTGATCTGTGCCTCTGCGTTCTGCGGCAGCGGTTTCTGGGAGCCCTAAGCAGTTTGCGAGCTTCACACAGTGGGACTGCACTAATTCCCCCCCAAAAGCGACAGAATACAGCCGCGCCGGAGCCTGTTTCCTTGTTGACTGGCGAACCGTGGCCTGAGATGTTGACGACGGTCTGCATTCATGGACTCGCCTCGCTCTTCCTGCATCTCTCTGCCGAAGCGGCCTTCCTGCCATCCCCTGCTGCTCTGGGGTCCAGCAGACGTGGCCCTTCACTCATCTCGAAAATGACAAGACGGCACTTCGGTGCTGCCCCGAGGCGCTTCTGGGCTGTGCGGGATACACGGGAGGAGGACGTGCTGGATCTCGACACGGCTCTCGACAGGGCGATAGATCACCTGAAGAAGCACGACGCTCCGCGGCCATTCATCGCTGGAACCATCGACTTCATCCCCACACTCACGGCGGCCAACTGGACGCTGCAACCCAACTGCAACACAGCAAGAGGGGCGCCCTTCTACGCTAGGAACCTCGAGAAGATCTATTACACGCAAGCACGGCAGTCGCCGGTGGGCATTGGCAATGAAACAGTCGTCGATCTTCAAGTGCGGCAAGCGCGGGAGGTCTCAGCCGACGAGCTGACGGTGGGATGTCCTGCGGGCGACTGGAGATCTGCGGTGCGGCGTGTGTGCGACGAGGTGGCTTCCGAGATGTCGCCGGGCAGCCAGGTGACGGCCGACTTGCACAAGCTGCTGATCTATGGGAAGGAGACTTCTTCCAGGCACACAGGGATACTTAGCGATCAGACGACCATTTCGCGTCATTGCTCATCTTCATGCCAACCGAGTACGAGGAGGGCGACTTCATCCTCGAGCAAACAGAGGGCTTCGACCCGGCCACCTTCAACGAGCAGACGCAGCGCGCTTTGGCTGCGAAGAAGTGTCGGTGGGTGGCCTTCTTTGCCGACATCCCCCATTCTGTGGCGGCCGTGACGTCCGGCTATCGTCTGGTGCTGGCGTATAAGTTGCGGAGAAAACGGCTGACAGAGATGGAAATACAGCCAGGTGATTATTTGGCGCCTCCGCTGCAAGACATGATCGACTCGCTTCACTACAGCTTCAAGCAGAAGACGGTGAGGGAGAGAGTGCAGCGGTCCGGTCCGATGATGTGATTTGATGTCGTGTCTGTCTGTCTGTCTGTCCGCGTATGTGTGTGGTATTGCCTCAGTCTCAGCTGGAGTGGTGGGAGTTTTACGTCGATAATGTCATCGTCATCCACCTACAACACACCTACACGCCATCATCAATGTCACCCGAGCATCTCAAAGGCGTCGACGCTTATCTCTACCAGGTGCTGTCCCAGCATTTCCAAGTCGATCTGAGGATGTTCCTGGCGAGCCAGAAGTATCGAGAAGAGGAGACTGAGATATGGGATTTCGGGCTGCTGAACGAGGAAGGTGCGGCGGGGATAAAGAAATATGTCGGCCTCGGCGGCGGCGACGACGACGACGACGACGATGATGATGATGATGATCGACTGGAGGAAGGCGAGGAGCTCGATGACTGGTTTGAGCACACACCGTTCTATGACACCATCTACGGACCCAAAAACTCGGGCCCTAGATACGATCACATGAAAACCTTCCTGTACCAGTACCCGAGTCGATTCGAGACGCGCAACGCAGGGCGTGACTCCAGCTGGGCGAGGCTGACATCAATATACACGTCATTCTGCAGCCGGGTGCACCCTGAGTTTGAGGAGCGTGCCCATGTGTATGGCAATGAGGTAAGCGATGAGTACAGCACTGCGACGCCTCACGCCTGAACCTGCGTACGAGACACATGTGTATTTCCTTTATTCAGGCACCTCTGTGGGACAAAATCTATGTTTCTGTTGTGATGGTGGTGAGGGAACGAGAATCAGAGGTCGTGGAAGGGGAGAAAGGTGAAGAGATGGAGACGGGTTAGGTCAGAATAGATGGGGTGGCTGGAGAGTGCGGTAGAGAGGGATTTCTGGCGGCGAACGATTAGTGTGCGTTGTCTTTACACTCTACGCGAGTGTGAATGTGGCCTAGCTGGCTTTCGATTTTGTCGTACGGTGGATTGGATCTGTAATTTGTGTGAGCAAATGGACGGTTGGAACCATTCAAAGTCTTAACGCATCCAGCATTGGTCACAATCAGTCATGCAAGCACTGCAGGCATGCCAGCCGTCAGCTGAATGCCACACGATCACCCACATATTCCCACACAAGCCACACAGCCAGCCACAGTGGCTCGACACGACACAGTATGAACACATAAATACAATACATTGCATGACTGCCCTCTGCACGTGTCTGTCTGTCTGTCTGTCGACTGACTTCCCTTCGGGAGAGACAAGACGATAAGCCACGACAAGGGGCGAGACGGAAAGTCGCAGCCCTCTCGCTCACGTACCCAAATAGCCCCATCGTTCAAAAAGATAGACACCAGGAGGACACGAACGAACAATGATCAGATCAGCCGGTAGCCAGGCAGTATCTATGTATACACCATCTTTCAACCCGTTGCCCATCCAGCCATCATGAAGCCAGGAGGGGCATCCCGCACCCTCCGTGTGTGTAGGACGACATGAAATCAATTGTGGGTGGTACCTCTCCTCTCTCTCAACCAAGCGGATGAAAGGCACATGCACAGACCATCAACAGCAGCACTCAAAACCGACCCCACCCCACACACCACCCCACATCAACAAGACGGCCAGCCGCCGACACCCATCTACAGATCTCTACGCTACGCTGTCTTGGCCAGGCGCGTTGCTGCCACAGCCCCCAGCGCCCCCAAAGCACCGGCCGACAGCAGGAGGGCGGCCTGGCCGGCCCACGTGGGTGCGAATGGGTTGGGTTTGTGGTGCACCTTGGCCCATCTCTCGATGTATGGCTGGGCGTTGTTCGGGTCGTGTGTGATGTCCCGCTCGTACTGGCCGCACGAGTCAGCTCCGAAGCACGAGTGGCCGACGGACTCGGTGAGGTCCTCGATGTCGAGATTGCCGGCCCAGCTGAGAGGGAGGGAAGCGACCATGTGATACGCGTTCGTGTGTGTGTGTGTGTGTGTGTTGTGCGTGGTTTGCTCACCCCTTCCACCAGACGTCCTTGTGGAAGGCCTTGCCGTGCCAACGACGGTACATGACCGCCATCTGAAGACACCACACGGGAGAAAGGCACATGATGTATGTGTGCAGCCACCCGTCCAGTCGTCCACTACTGGTTCGTGTCTGCCCAGCCCACCTCGTCACACTGGATGGGCACCGACAGATATCCGGCGCCTTCCTTGATATTGCGCATGATACCCGTGATCTGGCCGCACCACAGACACACACACATCCACACACACACAGCAGATAGATACGCCAGACAGAAGCAGGTGGTGGTGTCTCGCTCGCTCACCGCAGTCATGTCTTGGAAGGGTATGGTTTGGTTCGCCAGCTGCGCCAGGTGGTTGAGTGGCGTCTTGGCCAAGAGGTTGTTGATCCACGTGAGAGGATAGCCCCAATCCTTGTACATCGTGAAGATGTGACGAGTCATGCCAGGAGCTGCAGACAGACAGAGCAGCCGCACACAGACGGACACACACAGACACACACACGATGAACAAGGGAAAACACATGTATTGCTTTGTGTGTGTGGGGAGAGGGGGAGGGGGAGTGTTGCCATACCCATGGGTATGGAGTAGAAGCAGAGCATCAGCATGCGACCAGACTTAGACGTGGTCCGCACAATGCTGACAGACCGAACACACACACGCACACAACAAGAGAGAGACACCGATACCGCTTCGCCATTGTGCGTGTCTGTGTGCGGCTCTCCCACCTGCAAAGACTGGCTACTCACTTGGTGCAGGGTGCGATCCACTCCATTGTTTGCTTCAGCGGATAATCCTTTCTCATCTCGGCGGCCCACTGGGGGTCAACCTGAAACGAGCAAACGAGTGCAGCGTGTCGTTTGTGCTGCATTGCATTGGATTCCTTCTCTCTTTGCTGTCTTGACGCCTCCCTCGCTTACGAAAAGTCCTGTCTTGGTGGCCTTCGTCTCATAACGGAGAGGCTTGCCGTCCTGCCGACTGATACATGCACGACACACAAGACAACACACAAGACAACACAGAAGACGTATTCTCGTCCGTCAAGGCGGTGGTGTGGTGTGGTTTGTGCAGTCAGTCACCTGGAGAACTGGCCGTCGTGTGCGAATGGCGTGTGAGCGATGTCCATGAGATTCTCGCACCACAGTGAGTGATCGATGGGCATCTCTGTCGTCTGCCCCCAGAAACACAGCCGCTTGTCCAGCCACTCGGGGTAGCACGGGATGAGACTCTCGTCAGCCTTATCAACATCACCTGCACACACAGACATACAGACACACGCAGCACAACACAACACAATGCGCACGTGGCTGTGGCAATGTCTATCGGTGTGTGTGCGTGGCTGGGGTGGGTGGGTGTGGGTGTGCAGGCGCTGAATCGTCGTGCACACCTGGCCACACCCAAATGAGATGGTGCTTCTCAACGCAGGGGTAGGACTTGGTCTTGGCTTGAGGAGGGGTTTGCTTGTCGGGCAGCAGGAAGGGGATGTGGGAGACCTCGCCCGTCTTGCCGTCGAACTGCCAGCCATGGTAGAAGCACTCCATCTTGCCATCCAGTACACGACCCACAGACAGCTTCGCTGAGGCGAGAGAAGGGGAGAAAGTGTATGTGTATGTGTGTTCGTCTGCCCGTCTCGCGCACCGTTCTTGTGTGGGCATCTGTCAGCCAGGCAGCGGACGGTGTTGGTCTCGTCGCGATAGAGTGCAATTGGTTCGCCCAGCAGCCGTGTGCCCATGGCGCGGGAGGTGGCGCTCTTCCGGGGTATCTCATGCTCAATTGCAATCGGGTACCACACATTGCGCTGCAATCAATGCAGTGAGTGACACACGAAGCGACCACAATCAGAGAAGCAACAGATCGGGGTGTGTGTGTGTGTTTGTGCGTGCTTTCCTTCATCCTTACCACGTCAGTGCCGATGTGGCTGATGCCGAAGAGGGGCTCCTCAATGTGGTCAAGGACGGCACCTGGCACCTGGGGAGCCTGCAATGGACGAGAAGAGAGCGACAGAGAGTGTAGGTGAGCGACCACGGTAAGAATGGCACATTTCACACCTGGCTGAGTGCAGCAGGAGGCGCCATTGTCACCGGCAAAGGAGCAGAAAGGAGGTCTGATGGGCCGTGCAGCCAGCAAGTACAGTCCTTCGCCGAACCTTCAGCACTGTTCAGGGTTGGGGTTACAGGGTTTGATGAAACCCTGTAACCCCAACCCTGAACCTGGGGCATTTTCCAATACTGTTCTGTTTGTCCGCCGGTGCCAGTGCAGGGAGGGGTAGACAGGCCGTGTGCATGCTTTGCATGTACATGCTGCTAGTTTAGTGCGTGAGACAACAGGATCCCTCCGGGTTACAGACACGAGTCTCGTTAAACACAATAACCAACCAACCAATACGTCATCCATCCCAGTTTAGGGGCATCTGGGCAAGAAGTCGTCGTAGGCGGGCGTAGATGGGATGGATGGAACTGCCAACACAGAAGTGCATTGCAGGTGGGACGTTGAACAGAGAAAACCTCACAGAAGATTCAGACCATAACATACGTTCTCCCTTTCTGTTCCATTCCTTCATTCAGGTTGCTCCCGTCGACCACAGATGGAGGCTTCTCCTGCTCAGGACAGAACCAGGTGCGCCTGGCCTCATCACGCTGGTCCCTCACCTCTGCAGCCACATCCGGCCCTGCCCATGGCGATGGCGAGCGATTTGGAGGCCGAGTGTGCGATTGGCTGTACGCTGGATACGACGCCACGGTTGTCGTGTGGATGTGTGAGGGAGCAGAGGGGCAAGCGGGCGGCGATGGGTGGGTCGGTGTGTGGGAGGGTGTCGCGAACAATGTCATGCAGAGGAAACAGATGGGGCGCGATGAAGGTGAGGAGGGAGGGAGGGATGGAGGGGGGAGCATTCACACAACAAGCACTCATGGCTTTCTTGCTGCATGTTCTTCTGTGTTTGCCGGTGTCCAGACGTGCAGCTGGCCCTGTCAGCATGGCTGATCCCTCACACCACCTCGCCATCGGCCCCCCTCCCCCTTCTCGCCACACCATCCCCCTCTCTCTCCGAATCCACAGACATGTCCGACCTCGCCGAACGGAAAGTGCACACCACCAACGCACGCGACATGCGACGGCTGACTCAGGTGATCCAGCAGCGCGCCGAGGCCGCCATGGGGCGGTGTGCGGGGCATCTGGTGGTGCGGCTTGGAGTGCTGCACAGGGATGCTGGCGAGGAGATGGCGCTGGAATCGGTGCTGCATCTGGTGGTGGTGGACGGGCTGCGGGCGCAGGACGTTCGGGCGGTCGAGTGCATCGCTGACGAGATGGAGGACGATTCGGGGTCTGCCCTTTCGCCGTTCGTCCGGCACCCCTCTCAGCTGACGATCGTTCCCTTTGTCCCGTCCAGCCCTCCGCCATCTGCCTTGCCGCTGTATAGGCGTTTCCTGTCTGCCATGGAGCAGGTGACCTCCCTCGCCCACCGCTGCCCCTCCCACCCCATCCTCTCGACGCACCTGCCGGCCCTGGCGCGGCGGTGGACAAAACTGTCGGCCGTCGACACGGACATTGACACCTGGAGAAGTGCCGTTCTGCCCGCGAGACATTCACCAGCAGCGGCAGCGGCGGCGGCCGATGTGGTGGATTTGCCCCACACCCCTTCACGCGTCACTGACACGGAGCCTCTCCGCCGATCGTGGACGACCGACGATCTGCCGGAGGAGAGCAGCCCACTCCCCCTGCACAGGCAGGCCGTGCTCATCCGCAACATCGAGCAGGGCGCCGTGACGACGAGACCAACTTCTTCCTTCGAGTCGCTGTACCAGGACGCCCAGCGTGTGCAGACCCTCTACGAGCGGCTGCAGAGGGCCGTGCAGGAGAGGAGGCGGCCCAGCCCCTCCATGCCGGCCAGCTTCCGGTCGGCCCCACCACTCACCGGCAGCCCGCTGATCGATCAGCCACATGTGGTGGCCAGGGAGGACGAGCAGCAGGGAGAGGGAGGTGAGCATGGTGTGTGTCTTGAGGATAGCTTGGACGGGGTGCTGCCTCCCCCTCCACCCGGTTTGTCGGACGCGGCTGTGGCGGCCCTCAATCGGATAAGGAACATGGCCTTTGGCGGCGACGGAGTGAGGGCAATCAAGGTGAGCAAGGACAGACAGACACATGTGCATGTGTCTGTCGCACTATACCCTTTTTATTTCATTCAGGGCTCCGATGAGGAGGGAGGGTGCCAGAACACCCAGCGAGTGCCTAGCCCAAGCCAGCCGCCATTCCCCTCTCTGTTGCATGGCGACGACCATTGGGACACCTCCGCCCTCGCCGCCCCCCTCTCACCACCCACACAGCCGGCCTACGGCGGCCGCCCGACGGCCACAGACGAGGAGATCCCCGCAATGGCCACACCGCGGCCTGAAGAGACTGAACTAGAGGCGCTGAGAAGGGAGAACGAAGCACTCAGGAGGGAGAACGAGGTGAGCGTGAAGTCAGTACTCGGAGGGAAGACAATGGAGGTGTTGTTGAGTGTGGGTGTTGTCAGATGCTCCGGTTGGATGTGCGTGAGGGCGAGGCGCAGAGGGCTGTGGAGGCCGATTGTGCCGAGTTGGAGAGTGTGCGGTGGCGGGGCCACCTGAGAGAGCTCGCAAAGAGCAGCGGCATCGAGCATGTGGCAGAGATTTACGAGGCAGAGATAGCACGGGTGCGCCATGCCAATACGCAACGAAGAGGGTGCGGTCCGTCCTTCCATGTGGATGTCTCTCTCTGTGTGTGTGTGAGGTGCAGTTGTCGGATAAGTGTCAGGCCCTAGAGAAGCGGACACATCAGCTGCTGACGCTGCACCTGCTGTCCCATCTGCAGCAGAAGGAGCTGCCCCCCTCGCCATCGCCCGCAGCACACCTCTCGCCATCCAAACCACCATCACAGCGAGCATCGCCCATCAAGGTCACACACTCACAGAGGTCACGTTAGCAAATGTGCCACGCTCTCTCTCTGTTGTGTGTGGTGTGTGTCAGAGGACGTTCCTCCCCCCTCCCTCACCCGGGGGTGCGCTTCGGTCGCCTCGTGGTGTGGTGGTGGTCAGGTCGCCCCCCACACGGACCTATGGCCTGGGGTGGCTTGGGAGCGAGTGGCGGCAGCTCATCAAAGACCTCGAGGCCGCACACGCCGAGAATGAGGAACTCAGACAACGCGTGAGTGCCCTCCCTGCCGGGGGAGGGATCCATCCGTTGATTCGGCTCCCTCTGTGTATGTGTGTGTGTGTGTGTGTGTGTGTTGGGTGTACCAGGTTCGGTTCTACCTGTCGCAAGAGCGATATGTGAAGGAGTCTCGCCGGCGAGTGAGCAGCGTCTCGCATCAGCTGCAGGACAAACAGCGGGAGGTGACGGCACTGCAGAGCTGCGTGTCGGAGCAGTCGCAGCAGATGAAAGACAACCTCCGACACACACAGCATCTCAAGGACCAGCTACAGGTAGGTGAGATAGATGGTCAGACGGGGAGGGAGGCACAGAACCCCTCTCTCTCTCTCTCTCTGTGTGTGTGTGTGTGTGTGTGGTGTAGGCCTCCGAGCAGCGCGTCTTGAAGATGGCCGAGGAGATCTCCTCTCTCCGTGCGGCACTCGCCAACCCCCCACCCACCCTCGCCAAGCAAGACGCCATTCTCACCAAGTTCCTGCAGCCGGCACCCAAGGCCAGCGTCGCACAGAAGGCATGCCGCGTGCACTTCGACCGGCTGCAGGAGGAGCTCACCACACACCCGAGGGCGCCGGCCGCTGCTGCTGCTGCTGCTGCCGCTGCCGACACGCGTCAACCCATGAGACTCATCGCCGCATACGAGAGATGCCGACAGCAGACAGAGGTGGGCAAAGCACCTGGCCGGGTGGAAAGGTGTGTGATCATTGATTGCTTTTTCTCCTCCATCCGTCCTCAGGAGGCTCTGGCTGCCTTTGTGGAGACGGAGCAGGCCTTCCGCTCAGCCATCCGGCTGTTGCGAGAGCAGGCCAAGGCCGAGCTGGAAGACCACCACACGCACACGCGGCCGCCGGCGGGGGGCATGGTGGACAGTGTGGCTGATGGCGGGACGGCAACATTTGGGGCTGGAAGGAAGAATGCATCAGCAGCTGCAGCAGCAGCTGTGACTGGGGGCAGTGTGAGAGAGAGGGAGAGGGAGAGGGAGAGGGTTGTGAATTATGACGGTAGCGTGACGTTTCGGGGAGGGTGGAAGTATTGGGCACCGCCGTGAGTCCTCTTCTCATCTGGTGGGTGGTGGGTATGGTGTACGGAGGGGGAGGGGGAGGGGCTGTGTGTGTTTTGTGTACAGCGGGGCACTGCAAACGTGTCGCTCATTGATGATGTATAGCTGTACACACCTATGATGGGAGTCGGATAATTGGATCGATATGGACACCTCAGACCATGATTCATGCAATTCGAGTGTCACATGTAAGAGAGTTCGCTCGTTGCGTATGCACCCCTGCACCACATGGACATAAACGCACACACGTGTGATCCCTAGGCAGGCAGGCAGGCAGGCAGGCAGCAGGCATACTACACACATCCATGTAGCTGCTGCCATGGCCTCCCACAGGCAGGCACCCTATAGAAAGAAAGGCTCTACACACACACACAGACGGCCAGCAATACTCTTCTCGTTGCCATAACACTCCCAGCGAAAATAGTTCATATCACCTCCCCCGCAACACAACCGCTCTTAGATACGACGATGGATAAATGCTCATTCGTTCTGTATGCACACACGAGCCCCCCCACCCTACAACAAAGATGTGTCAAATACACGTGTCGCTGCAATGCAGTGAATGCTACCCACATTCATGTCATGTCATGTAGCTACCATCCATCCATCCATGGGCACCGAGCTGCCCCCCCAGCCGCTCCCACCATAACCACCGCTGGCCGGCAAGGCCAGTTGGCCGTGACAGACAGACCCTCTCCCCGCCCCCGACTACGCCATGCCCTCACCCATCCATCCATCTATCAGTCAGTCAGTCGGAAAATCGTGATGAGCTATATTTCTATCGTTTGTGCCGGGGTCGCTTGGTCGCCTGCTGCGTCGCCTCTGCATCTTCCCCCTCCCTCTCCCTCTCCACCGCCATGGCCATCGCCGTGGCCGGATCGAAATCATCGGCGGCAGATGCAGATGCCGATGCCGACAAGCCTGCGCCGACGTCGAGGTAGAGCTGGAATCGCACCCTCTTGCCGCCGCGGAGGGTCATGCCGTCCGTGCGCCGGGGTGCCCTCGTGTGGGTGGCTGCGGCTGTCGCTGTGGCTGTGGTGGGCAGGTCTTTCTGAGGGGGGGGGATGGACTGACACACACACAGCGAGAAGGAGGGGAGGATGGAAGGTCGCATGAATGAATGAATGCGGGGGCGCGTTTTTCCGGTGTCTCTGTGTGGGATGTGATGTGTGTTGTGTGCGTACGCGTCCGTCGAGCACTTTGCGGTCGAGTATGCGCTTGATGAGGCCGTCCACCGTGCCCTGAGCGATCGATGCGCAGCCAGCCCGAGACACACAAACATGCGGTGGGTGCAAGAGGGAGAGGTGCGTTGCTGGCGTGTGTGGTGCACTGCACTGACCTCTGCGATGAGGTAGTGGACGTTGACGGACTTGTGTGGGGCGCCGGTGTGATGCGCTCTATCCTCCGCCTGCTGCATCACACCCGGCACCTAAACACATCACATGCATCCCCAACACACACAGCCAGACGGATATGTGGGATGGATGTGTGGATCCTAGTATCATGTGCATGTCGACGGATGGATGGATGGGTGGATACCCAGTACAGCTCTGCAAACACTATCGTCCCCGCAGCGGTCAGGTTCAGGCCCTGGCCGGTCGCCGTGATGGACAACAGCGCCACCTGCACCACACAGGCACACACACACACACACGGATACACACGACCTCGGCGTGTGTGTGTTCGGTAAGTCACTCACTCTGCATTGGTCGTCCTCCTGGAATCGTTTGACGAGGCCCTGACGCTCGGCCATCGGCTCTGAGCCGTCGATCCGAATGAAGCCCGCCTGTGTGCACATCACATCCACCGATGGCATCCCATCCACCCATCGAGATATGGCGCGAGCAACACGCACATCCACGTCTGCGCGTATGACAGGCACCGCCCACTTACCGGCGAGAGTGTGAACTCCAACGTGTCCTCGAGGGAGTCCATCATCGAGCCGTGATGCGCAAACACTATCAACTGATAAACACACAACGCCACACAGACATCTCTCTCTCTCTCTCTCTGTGCGTGTGTGTGTGTGTGTGCGTGTGTCCGCGAGTCGTCTACCTTCTCCTCAGTGCTTGCCTCGAGCAGATACTCCACGTACCGGCCCGCGGCGACCATCTTGGCCTCTGCCGTCTTGGCGTACCCCTCGATGATGCTGGGGTCCTGGCAGAGCTGCCCGAGCTCTCCGCCATGCGCTTCCAATCCTTGGCCGCCAGCAGCTGCTGCACCTCACTCACCACGCGGCTATCGGCCTGCGCGGCAGGCCGGTCGATTGCGGCGTCCATTGTGCGTCTGGGAGGAGGTGGTGGGTGGTGGTCTGTGCAATGTCTTACTGGAATGGTGATGTCGGTTTTGATTTTGGGCGGCAGGTCGGTCTGCACATCCTTCTTGAGTCGGCGAACCATGACCTGTGGACAGTCACACACACAACACAGAGAGAGAGTGCCGACATGCAACACAACACACACGGCCTGTGGACGCCCGCACTCACCCACCCACCGACCCACCCGGTCAGCGAGCCATGCGCGCAGTTCGTGTGTGTGTTTGGCGCCCTCGCAGAACTCCTCCTGCCGCCAGTTGCCATTCTCATCCGGCCGACGGTGCCCGAGCCTCTCCATCATGCAGTACCGAGACCGAAACTTCCACTCGTCCCAGTTGTCCACCTGCACACACACACACACACAGATGGATGTGTGTGTGTGTGTGGGTGGTGTGCTGAATGGGTCACAGTGACCTTTTGCTCCATGTTTGAGGGTGTGGTGGGGAAGAGGACGGCGTCGATCTGTGCGAACAGCTTGTCAGGGCTGCTGAGCGCCGGGGCGCCCGACAGCAGAATGCAGCGGGCGGCCTTCTTCAGAATCGGCTTCAGCTGCACCCACACAGACATGAACACACACACACACACACACGGAGGGAGGATGCCGGAGTAGCGGTTTGGCGTGCTGTGCTGTGTCCGCTTGTTTATACCACTTGTATGCGCTTGTGAGCCGCCCCACGGTCGCTCTTTCTGATGAAGTGCGACTCGTCAGCTATCACTACCTGCACCCACACATCCACCATCCAGCCATCCATCCATCCATCTATCAAGGCGGTCTGCATCGCATCGACACACTAACTAACGCACCTCACCTTGTATGGCTTGCAGTCGGCTGTTCGGGTGAGGAAGGCGTTCTTGGTCACCCCGATGAGCGAGTAGGACGTGACGACGATCTTGGCGTGGCGGTCCGGCCGCTCCTGGCTGGCACCGTCGACGACGCACACCTAAAGAAGCAATCGACACAACCAATCAACCACATACACATGGACATCACAAGGGCCTCTGTGAGTGTGGGGGGGAGTCACCTCGTTTGCTTTGACCAGGTGGGGCAGCCAGCGCACGGCCTCGTCGCGCCACTGGAACATGCTGCACACTCACCAGGGATGGATGGATGGCTGTGGTGGTGAAGGTGAGCATACACACATGGCAGTGGGGCACACGACGAGCACGGGCCACTCTGTGTGGAAGTACGCGGCCGTCACCAGCGCCTGCAGTGTCTTGCCCAGACCCTACTCACACACACGCACACACACACAGACACACATACAAACACACGAATGCACCAATGGATGTGTGTGTGTGTTGGTAACCAGCTCATCTCCGAAGATCACGCGCCCGCCGTGCTGGAGAGCGAAACGTACGCCATCACGCTGACACAAGACAGAGGAAAGAAGGACCAACATGACACTATCCTACATCCTTGGCTGTCTGGCGCGTCGCGTCGCCCAATCACAACCCCCTACCTACTTGATATGGCCGTATGTGGCTGCGCAGTGGCTCTAAGAGGTTGTTGAGGAAACCATTGATGGCCGCCGGCGCTATGGGCTGACATATGAGGACCACATGACATACACACAGGTGGATGTGATGTGTCGGTGTGGTGTGTATGGGGGCATCAGTGTGCCTGTGTCTGTGTCTGGATGGACACATGCCTGTTTCTTGCTCTTGCGCGTCTTGCTGAGAGTGTCGGTCACGAAGGCCGGCAGCGGCTTCAACTTACGCGAGAACCCCTGACACGTCACACCACACACACAGAGGGAGAGAAAGAAAGGCGTAATGGTCAGTCAGATCTTGCCCACACACACACAAACACGGTTGCTCAGTCCAGGCACCTACTGGCGCCTTGGTGATGGCCGCGTGAATCTCTTTGTGGCACTCGACGGGGAACAGACAGTGGCCGTCCTTCATATCGGGCGGCTTTAACGACTGACAGACAGACACGCGCGACCAACAGACAGACAGATTGGCCATTTGCGGTAGGTGTGTTGTGGAGTGTGTGTTGTCAATCCGTCCGTCCGTGCGCACCTGCAGGAAAGTTTGGACTACCGCCGGGGGCGCTACGGGCACACCCTCCTCAGTCATCTCTTCTACCACCTGACACACAACACACAACACCACACCCAGCCGGCCATGCCATGCGTGTGCGTTATGCCCGGAATTCTCTCTCTCCCCTGACGTACAGCGAAGTGCCTTGGGTCCATGAGCATGAGCGTCAGAGTGAATCGCAGCTTCTGCCGCCCGTCGGCCGCCGTGCTGTCGGGCTCGTCCCCACTCTCCCCGTCGTCGCTATCACTACGGATGCCCTGCACCGCCTTGACGTACTGAATGAAGTCCTGCAGAGGGGGCGATGGGTCGTGGACTCCCAGGGCCCAGTCGGCATAGCCTGACACCCACACACCACAGCATACACACACAGCCAGGGGGTGGAGAAGGGGAGATCCACTGGCTGTTGTGCAGCCATTGGCACGCACCAGGGTTCTTCTTGAGGACGGCGCTGAACTTCTGGTTCCTGCAAGCCAGGCGGCACAAGGCGAGGGAGAATCGTACAAGGCGGTCGTCATGCACCTGCTGTACCTGTATTTCCCGAAGTCGAACGTCTGGTCCATCGCGGGCGGCTTCTAACACATATCCCGTCAGGAGGAAGATCAGCCGTCCAATCTGCCCACCTCGCATGATCCTGGCCAAAGTGGACGCGTCCCCGGCCGCCAGGAGAAAGTCTTCTTCCCAGCATGACGGTGTCCAGGTCTCTTCTCGTTGCGTTGGCGGTTTGCGCTTTCGTCACCTCCACCATTGCTGCGGCCATCGGTAAGCGCCAGGTAATTGGCGCAGGCAGACAATGATCCACGGGGAGCCATGATCTGCCATGAGGAGCCATGGGCCTCCCTGTGTTGGTCTCCTTCAGGGGAGAACTACGACTCGTGCGAGGACAGCAGCTGCGCTGTGGATGGGGGGTTCGGCCACAATGAATACAATAACGGTGAGGGGAGGAGGGCCTGGATGGCTGAAGGGTGCACTTCCATGGTTGTTTCCGTCAGATGGATGGATGGATGGATGTGTGGCTGTCTGTTCTACCAGGTGGGTCGTTTGTCGGCCGCTCTCAGGAGATCCAGGCATCTACACACGGCACCGTGGACGGTGGGCACATTGGGTCCTCCGTTCTCTCTACACACACAAATCCTCATTTGTTGCTCATGGCATGGCACACCCCCTCTGTGTTGTGTTGTGTTGTGTGTGCAGGTGTTGTGTCGGGTGTTCTGCAGCAGATCCAGACGGGCAGGGCCATGTCCCAGTCGGCCATCAAGCTCACCAGTGCCGCCAACGAGCTGAGCGGCTCAGCCCTCGCCGCCATCGACAACGTAGAGGCACACCTGACTGCCGCCACTGCAGGTGCAACCGGGAGATACAGCAACGCCACTCACAAGACTCAAGAGTGCAGGGTGAGTACTGTACGCTGCTTCTCGATTGATTGATAATGGTGTCGTTGTTGTGCATCCTGCAACCGACAGGTCATGTTTAAGGCCGATGTCGAGGGCCTTGACACGACAAAGGACGTTACGGTGTACTACATGGTGTGAGCCGATGCAGCCGATGCACTTGTCCTTCATCCTTCATAGCACCTCTCTCTTGTGTCTATGTGTCTATGTGTCTATGTGTGTGTGTGTGCAGAAAGGCTACCGATGGTCATACAAGTGTACATGGGCGTTCCCTGCTCGCAGTGCGGCGGCGGCCACTTTTGTGCCATCGAGTCGGTGAAACTCAAGCATGGAGGCCAGCTCAAGCATGGAGGCCAGCTGCCCTCCATGCTTGAGGACTACTTCGAGACACGTCCCCTCGATGTGACAGGTAGGAGCAGGGTATATGTATAAGCAATACACCAGCACAGGAGCGACCTCTCATGTCGCCTGTTTATCAAGGCTATGGCCACTGCCACTCGACCGCGGAAACTTCGACCAAGTGCATCGAGGGGACACTGCAAGACTTCAACTACGAGGGTCAGAAGGCTGGCAAATACTGCACGGCACCTGACACGGTGAGCAGTGAGCTATTAGGCAGGACATTGCACAGCAACTGTGCACACAAGGCTACTTACTGTTGTGGGTGTCTTCTGCAGACCGTCAGAACCAAGGTTTGATGCAGAAGTGGACGCGTGGCATCGTGTTTATGTATGTGGATCTGTGTCTATCAGGTTGATCAGTCGATAGCGTATCGAGCAGAAGACGCAGATCTGATCCCAGACCAAGAAGAACGACTTTTCGCAACTTACGGATACCTCAAGCGAATCTTTTACATAAAGGGAAAGCAGCACGACGTCCGTCAGGTCTTCTTCCCAGGCCACGAAGGTAACAACGGGCTCTCTCGACCAGTGAATGAATGGCACGGCCGTCGCGCGATGCTGTATTGCAGCTTACGGTGACGAGTCCGTACTGACGGTCTACACGGCTGAGACGAGAGACGGAAAGGGTGGGAGTCGCCAGATGATGTATCCATTATGATCATCTGATATGTCTTTGTCTGAACATTGCCTGCAGAGATGTGCGAGGATCACGCCCACTGCATCCAAGGCACCAGCTGCTACTTCCAGGTGAATCTCCTTGAAGTGAAGGAGACTTTGAAACATCCAGGACGCTGCAAGGTAAATGACGCCTGCAGCGGTCCATCAGGGATGCGTGCAATCCACTGACTCGTCGATCATGTTATGTTGCTTGCTGTAGGTGGCCGACATAGCCAAGTCGCCGTATGGCGAACACCTCGCTTGGCGTCACGACGCGGACTAGGACGGGCAGGGGCGGGAGGGCGACCGACCGACCGACCGACCGACTGGCTTGCTTCAGCTATCCCTTTTCTTTTGTGGGATGCACACCCTGTTGGTTTTAATTTCATCCGCCTGTCCGTCTCTGCCTGTCCGTCTGTCTGTCCGTCTTTCTGTCTCACTGCTGCAATCGACTCGGTTTTTTCTTTCTTTTGGAAAGGTGTGCGTGCGTCTGGCTGCTCGACTGGCGGATCCTATCCACCCACACGTACACATTGATGAACAGCACGGCATGGCATGGCTGCTTGCATATATCGCTGGACGGACGGACACATTACGTTTATCTAAAGGAGCGAATTAATTAGTGACCGGGTCAAAGTTCTGCATGGACGACGTCACACTAAGAGGACAAAAAGCTTCTCTCGCCTGTGCCATGGAGGCACACATCAAACAGCAGATACATGCAGCAGGCAAGCAGCAAGAGTGCATGGATGGCAAGGCAGACAGGCAATCGACACATGCACAACAACTCAGCCCACCGTCTCTCTCGCAAGCACACGCCCAGCGCCTGTGAGGCAGAGACAGACCATCATACGCAGGCAGACGCTTTGCAAGGCCTAGAACAAGAAGCCACTCAAGAAAGACGGCTTATGGTCGCTTTGACCGACCGCCCGACCACCACGCACGACGCACACATACAACATACATACAGTAGGCGGCTGGTCTGGCTGTGCTGCCTAGAAGGGGACGGCCCGCGCATTGAGTTCTTCGACCGTCCCACTGTCGAGGGGCGAGGCAGATTGTACTTGGCCTGCATCAACAAATCAAACCCAGCAGACGCGTACTGACCGCAAAGAGTGGGTAGAAGCGCTGCGCTTGCTCCTGCATGGCCCGATAGTCCTGGGGTCCATTTTCCTGGATGAAGTGGTCGGGCACGCCATGCCTCTGGAAGTCCCTGAACATCTCCACCAGCTTAAGCGCCTTGTGCGGACCGCCGCACGCCCGCAGACCCAGCACACACTGCGGCACACAGACACGCACACAGATAGACAGATAGACAGACAGACAGACAGAATGAATCTTCGTCTTTCAGTGAGAGTGAGCCTGTGTGTCCGTGTGCCCATACGTGCAGTTTGGCTCTCATGAAATCGTTGGCATACATCTGCCCGAGCACGCGCCTCTCCCAAGCCCTACACAACAAGGGACAGACGCACCGCAACACACAGCGAGGGATGAGCCGAGCCTGTGCAGTCAGTGACGGACCTTTCGAAATCGGGTTGGAGTGTTGTGGAGGCCATGGCGTCCTGCATGCACATGACCGTCCGGTCCTCAGCATCAGGACGAGGGTCGTGCAGCTTCAGGTGACACGCCGCCTGAATGAAAGCCATACACACCATGGACATTTCTGGAAGACCCATCGCAACATTCAGGCAGCAACACGGATGCGCAAAATTCAGGCGGCGTGCCTGCCTGCCTGTCTGCCTGTCCACCTTGTTAGAGTAGATACGGTGGTCATTTGGCGCGTGTTTGAGCGCCTGGCCATACAGATTGAGCGCATCTTCGTACTGGCCGTCCTTGAAGGCGTCATTGCCCTTGGCACGCAGCGCCTCGCCCGCGTCTTGCTCGGCCGCCTCGTCGACGGGATGGTCGCGCATGTGGTCCTGGAGCAGCTGGCGGATCCGCTGCATCCGCTGCCTCCACTCGGAGAGCTTCGTGTCCTTGCTGCCGGGCATGTCCAGTGGGTGGAGCTTGAGGGCGGGATAGTGCTTGACGAGCTCTGGGCGGTCGGTCTGGTCCATCGTCAACGCACGATCAAGGGCGGTCTTGTTGTCTTGGCCCCGCACACTGATCGGAGGCACACACAGATCGACACATGAATGCGTATTGATCGATGTGCGGTTTATTACATACCGTACGTCGCCACTGTGCTGCAGAAACAGCTCGACCATGTCATCGTATGACATTCACACGGCGGATATCAGTGCACTGTCGTTGCTGAGCACACAAACACACACTGGCGCTCGCTCCTGTGATCGACGATTATCGCCTTACGATGCCATCCGTGCGTTGACGTCTGCGCCGAGGTCGAGCAGTCGCTTGGCCACAGGCACCATGTGGCAAATCGTCACGGCTGCTGCAGACAGGCAGTTGCACCAGAGGAAGGATAAGCAAGGGAGGGAGGGGCGGACGTATGCTCTGCCGCCTCACCGACCGATAGGCGGGATCGTATCTGCTGTCCATCTGTCGATATCCCACTTTGTGCCCTCCTCAGCAGCCTGTCGAGAAATGACAGTATCATGCCCTGATAGACAGACACCACAAAGACACACAGAAAGACAGGCAATCGCACATGCGCATCTCATCGGTGCAGTGTGTGTGTGTCACATGCCCACCTCTCTGCGTCTTGGATCCGATTTGGTCGGGTCCGAGATTCCGCTGCCTCGTATCGCAAGCACGGCGTGCAGCTTGTCCACAGTAGCTGCAACACACAGTGCATAAACAGAGATCTTGATTCTGACTGCGCCTGTGTGTACATGTACACACACTTGCGTCTCGAGCGAACACGAATCCGGATGTCTGCGCTGCGTCGCCACCTGGCATTTGTTCTTTGCTCAGTCAGTGAATCAAACGCAGTGGTGGATCGGTTCCGGTGACTTTTGACGTAGCGGAAAGCGAGATGGGTTCGGATCGTTGTTTGGCTAGGCTCGCAAACGGATCGCATCTCGAGCTCGCAATGAACGCTGAGGTCGAAAAGCCGCCTTTCGTGCAGGATAAGGTAGAAGGAAGGATCAGGAAAGCGATTGATGAGAAGATCTTGAAAAGCAGATGAATGGGTGGAACGAATGCGGGTGTGTGTGTCAGGTGTATGCGCTGCTGAGGGATGAGTGGGTCGGTCCTGCCCCGCTCAACGCGACGCTAAGAGAGCTGCAGACACCGCCTGTAAGTGGTGATTCCATGGTGAAGGGACATCTCGTTCATTCATTCTATCCCAGCCTCGCGCAACGCCTGTCTGTCTGTTTGTTTGTCTGTCCACCTGGCTCTGTGCGTGTGTCCAGGCCACCACCACGTTGCGCGTCGTGCCGTCATTGGCGCCTCCATTGGAAGAGATCTTCGCCTTCCTGAGGGAATGGACGCAGCACAAATTCGCAATTGAAGTGAATGAGATTCGATGAGATGCGGGCCGGGAGGGCCAGTCAGTTCGCGAGCAGCTGTCTGCACTGTGTTTGCTTGTCTGTGTGTGGGTGTGTTCAGGTGCATCCGGTCATTGCAGATGTCATCTCTCTCACTCAAAAAGCGCCAGACGGCCTGGCAGACACAGACGCAGACTCAGTCCCTGCTTCATCGGGCCGTCATCCTGTCGTCCTGGTATGATGCAAATGCAGCAAGTAGCTGTAAGCGTGTTCTGTGCGGTGATTTGTTTTGCTTGTTTGTCCTTGTCTGTCTGTGGTCAGGTTGACCCCCACTGCGGCCATGCTGTGCTGCGAGGTGCGTGTCTGCTTGCACACGTCAGCACGTCTGTACTGATCGCTCGTTGTCTGTCTGTCTGTCTGCGTCAGGCAGCCACGTGTACGCAAAGGGGGTCCTCGCATCCGAACCAGGCTGTAAGTGAGTGGTGTGCAGCCACGGTTGCCATCCATGTGACCGATGCTCATTTTTTTCAGTGAAGGTGGGCAGCCGTGTGAGTGTGTACGCCTACGTGGGGCCTAAACAAGGCGACAGGAAGCTCCTCAGAGGCACTTACCTGCACACCACCGACGGGCAACAGGATGCCAACTGTGCCGACACACTCGCAGACGTAGGCAGCCGCTCATGCAGCAGCGCCATTCAACTGACAGATTTGTTCTCCGTTTCTGTCAGGCAGACAGTGGTGCTGCGGACACAGCGGATGGTGCGGCCGTGAGTGAAGATTTCGACTCGCCCGCCTTTCGCGCATTCTGCGGCGATGGCGTGCTGGAGATGGTGACCCACTTACATGCACTCACGGCAGATGGAAACGGATCACGCGCAAGCCATCGTGTGTGGCTGTATGTGTGGATGTGTTGTGTTTGTGTGTGCAGTCGCCCTTGTCCATCTACCAGTCGTCGTGTGGTTTGGCCATCCGCATGGACGATGCGATCGACTTCCAGACACTGCCGCCTTACCTCTTCCCACAAAACGTACACGTGCGCACATATACACACACGGCTCATGTGCAAACAGGTCTCTCTCTCCCCCAACCTGCCTCTGTGTGTGAGCGTGTGCATCCAGTTGCCGTCTGCTGTGGTGGCACACGTGATGGGGGTGGGTGAGAAAGATGAGACACAAGGGAGGTTTGTGTCGCAACATGTGTGTGGTGGTGTTATGTGCAGTGTCAGCCGGGCGAGAGCGTCGCCGACCTCTGTGCAGCACCAGGAGGTCACTCCACAGCACACCAAATCACAGTACCACTCCTGTGCACCACGTGTGGCAATGTGCGTGCTGTCCTGCGTGCAGGCAAGACGACGCACATTTGCTCCCTCATGGACAACCAAGGTACGTGCCTCCATCTCCATCTGCATGCCCTTCCTCGGCCATTTGTCTGCTTCCATATTGCATGTATGTATGTGTGTGTGCAGGGTGGGTGTTGGCCATTGACCGGTCGCAGAAGAGAGTCGACGAGCTGAAAGGTAAAGCACAGACTACATCGATGACAACAAAATCGATGTGGTGTGGTGTGCGTCCGTCAGGCACTGTGTTGAGGCACCAGGCAACGATCGCCGAGTGCATCTGTGCGGACGCGACCACTGACAAGTGAGTGACGTATCAGGCCGACGAATGGCGACATCACCAAACTGACGTGTCTGTGTGGTGCAGATGGACATGCTCTCGCGGCTCGTGTCAAGACCTGCAGTAGGCACGCCGCCGCAAGGACACGGCACACACAGAGACGTGCATGTGCCTGTGTGTCTCAGAGGCAAATTCGACAGAGTGCTGATTGACGCACCCTGCAGCGCCACGGGTAGGTGCCTGGCCAAACACATGCACGCCGGAGAGCTCCTTATGGCCCAACACATGAATGACATTCATGTGTGTGATGTCATTCATGTGTGTGCAGGATTGCGTCCCCGTCTGACGTTTGGTGAGGGCGACCTCCACATCGACTCGCTCTCACAGATACAGCGCAGGCTCATCCAAAGGTACGTATGCATACCCACCCAGTC